TTTTAGGGAAGTTAGGCTTGGCTATCTCTGTCCTGCTGAAAACTATTTTGAAAAATGTCAAACCTATTGAACAACATGAAGAAATAGTATAATGAAATCTCATGTACCTTTCACTTAGTTTCAAACACTACATTTGCATTATTAGTTTCTCTATACACAAATACATATATATACACATACATATATATACTTATGTATATAAAGGACAGCTTTTTCCTACAGCACTACTGTAATCCCAAACTGCCTTGCTCAAGATCTCCCACTGTCTCCCCATTGTCCTGACATCAAATCTGTTGACTCTTAGCTTCCCAAACCAGTAACCTGACTTCTCCTCACCAAATCAAACATACCCCTCCTACCTGACAAGCAGGACTGGGACAAGGAGGAGGTGAATGAGACATTTTACTCAGGTGCAAAATTTAGGTGGGCACCAGAAAACTCAGGAATCAGGATAAATAGTATTTTAATATAGTATCTTTAAAAGTCATAATGCAAAAAGATCTTAATATGCAAGTTTTAAGCAAAGTTTCATAATTAACCTCCATCTATTCTGCAGACCCTCCCAAGTACATAGGTTCTTTGAGTGAAGATCACTTGGTACAGCTGGCCTGCTGCCCTCTGCCTGGGTGACACCCATAGAACTGGAGAGATCATTCTGAGTATCCCCACACCACCCCCTCCCTACATCTCCAACACCGACAGAATCTTGGCTTTTTGCTAATGAATATATAGTTTGCCTTTGAAGTGTGGAGGCGTCTGCTAATTCTAGAGCCACAGCAGTTTCCAGGTCTTATCATTTTCCATTAGCAGCAGAACCTCTTGAAATTTGATATATCTACATCTTGCCATTGGTTGGCTGTTCTTACACCCAGTGTTCCCTTCACAATCACACTAGGTGACAATTTCTTGATGGTAGAGGAGTCTGACTGCTAGTTCTCTCAATGATGACCCCGGCATTGTTAGTAAACTACCGTCTTGCAGGAAAAATGTAGAGACAAGTATTCAGATCAGTGTCGCTCAGAGTGAAAGGAATAAATGTGTCAGAGACAGCAGCAATGCCACCAAATAGGGCAATTGGGAGGGGGCCTGTGACTGCTTCTAAAAATTCATAGGGATGGGGGAGGAGGGCTAGGGAGGAGAGGTATATTTTAAGGAGAGAGAAAAGAGAATAGTAGAGAGGAGAGGAAAGCGCTTTGTACAGTTGCTACCGAAGAGGTTAGTGGCAGGTTTGTCATGGGCCTTCCAGCATTGTTCAGCTGGAGTTACAATGCCAGAATCCTGTTTCCACCACCACGGCTGGGTTAATGGTGTTTGTCTCACCACAATACACATAATTTTCAAAAGACACCAAACTTTGCCTCTTCCCCTTCAGGATAGGGAAGCTATCAGGGCTTTTTCTTTTTTTTTAAAGATTTATTTATTTATGCACACAAGAACTGGGGTATAGGCCAGAGGTGCAGGGGGTGAGAGGATTCATCAGAGGCAGAGTGGGGGGCAGAACAGGCAGATGTACTGAAATACACTGTTGAGGGGAGCAGCGGGCAAGACAGGAGCGGTCTGCTGTGCCAGTGGATTAGCTCCCTGGCCAGGAATCGAACTGGTGCTGCAATGGCTGCGGAGGCTGCAATGGCTGTTGTGCCAACAGGGAGGCCCTTTTTTCTTTCATCATCTTTCACCAAACACTCGTTTTGGGTGATAAATCTGCTGATTAGTCATGTCCCTCTCCCCAGGGCCATTTTTGCCTTCTACTGCTTATCTGACCTCATCAAATTAAGAGTTGCGGTTCCCCCACTAAGGAATTTCAAACAAGACAGCAGCTGGAAAGATTTGTTTTTGGACAGGGGCCTTTTAGTAAAAGTGCTTGGCCTTGAAAATCTTTATCGACAGATAACAAACTTGGCTAGGTGAGGTGTTTTTTGAGGAACAGCCACATTAACAGCTGTGCACTTATCATGTTCCCTGGGCAAATACCAGCTTAGGGGCCCCGTACACCCTCCCCTTAGCAAGCCATTACAATCAGCAAGGAGTGCAGGTTAAAAGGGGCCGCTGTCCTGAAAGCGCGTATGGCTGTGTGGGGAGTGCTCCAACCTGCCCTGGAGGCCCTGGGGAATCCAGGACTTTGTGTTCTGACAATGTCCACTCACCCAGGCCGGCCAGCCCTTGCTCACCACCCCAGAAGAAACCACCACTTCCCTCCCCTTTGTGCTCTCCATCCACCCTGCCGATTGTCCCCAATTTTCCCCATTCCTTAACCACCCCCACCCAGTACTCCTCCAGAGGCCAAACCCCTCTACCAGGGGCTAGCAAGCCCCTCTGTACCCTCACCCTCACCTCCCACAGTAACTGACACCTGGTTCCTTGTCAAGGACTCGGCCTCCCCACCACCCTCTTCAGCACAGGTTGTTTGTTTTCTCACACTCCACAAGCTCAGGGTCTGGAGGTGGGGTTACCAGGCCCCATGGTGCCCAAGGCCAGGTCCACACTGTTGCCCCTCCACTCTCAAGTTTATGCCATACCTCGGCCCATGCCCTTCTTCCTGGCTAGTCTGCTTAAATACCAAAGCAAGTATATAAGCAAGGGGCTCACAGCCTTCTCTCCAACCACCTGCCACCATCATCCTAGGTGGCCGGGGGGTTGATCCATTCCACACCCTGAGTTCTCTGTCCTTTGACCTTAACCCCAAAGATCTCCTCTACTCCACAGGCAAAACATCCCCCCCCAACACCAGGAACTCAGACATTGCATCCCTTGGCATAATCCCCCATTCATTCACTCACTCCCATCATGCTGGCACCTCTTCCTCAGGAAAATCTCATATCCATTCATGCCTCCACTTTCTCCCAGGCTACCAGCCCCTTTGGCCTCATGTTGCTCTCTATCCAGCTACCTATCTTTTTTTTTTTTTTTTTAAATTTCTGCTGCTTTTTTTTTTTTTTAAAGAATTATTTATTTATACAAGCACTGGGTACAGTCAGAAGCGCGGGAGGGTGAGAGAATTCACCAGAGCCAGAGCGGGGAGCAGAACAGACAGACTGACAAGACAGACTGACGAAACACACTGCTGAGGGGAGCAGAGGGTGGCAGGAGAGGTCTGCGGTCATGTGGGACCCTCGCCAGCGGCCGGGGATAGAACCGGAGCTACAGAGGCTGCGGGCAGCCTCGCAGCCCAGCGCTCAACTGCTGCGCCACCAGGGGAGGCCCCCATAGCTACCTATCAATTGACTTAACTGAGACTTCAATCATGGTCTTGTTCAGCTCCTCAAAAATCACCATCGTCTTTCTGAACCCCAATCCTGGACGAGTCCAATGGCCTTTTTCTGAGCAGATTCCACACTGGAGAAAAGCACAAGGCTAGGAAATCGGGGTCTCCAGATCAATGGCCACCCGCCTCAGCTGGGCAACTGCCAGCAATTTTCAGTTGGTCCTAATCCAATAGGGTCCACCCAGGCAAGCACATACCTCTATTGACGTGACCCTAATCTTTCCATTCTCCTCCACCCAAGAAACTTCAAACACATCTACACAAGCTCTCCTGAAAATAAGTCCTCTCTTGAGCACATCTCCCTTAAGCTACTGCCTCGTCTTTTTCCTTCCCTTCATAACCTGATGTCTGTACTCCCTGCCTCCATTTATTTCCCTGCTTCTTTACTCCATGCTTCTTTACACCATCTGTCTCCTTCTACCACCAGTGGGTTCCGTTCAGTGCTGCTGGCACAGCTGACCCTCCTTTTCTGTATTTCTGTCACATCACACCCTTTCTTGTACACCTGTATCAGCCCCCCTCTTCCCTTGACCCCAAAAGTTGAGGCATCTCTAATATCTCTTCTATGCCCTCTGTCCTCAAAACTTCAACTTCCATCAATCGCTGCTGCTCACAAATCTCCATCTCTGGACAGGTTCATCCATCTAGCTACCTGCTAGACCTCATGGTCAAAACCAAATTACCTTCTCTTCAACTCCTCTTCTCAGCGAATGGCACTCATTCATCCTGTCCCAGGGCAGACCTGGGCTCAGCATATAGAGAAAGATCAGTATTTGATGAATGAATAAATGAATCCTGACCCTCTGTAGCCAGTCGCTCAGACTTGTCAATTTTACATCCTAATGCATCCCCATGCTTCTTTCTTTCTCTCTTTTTAAAGATTTATTTATTCATTTTTACACAAGAACCGGGGTACAGGCCAGAAGCGCAGGAGGGTGAGAGGATTCACCAGAGCGGGGAGCAGAACAGGCAGACTGACGAAATACACTGCTGAGGGGAGCAGCGGGCGCGACAGGAGAGGTCTGCTGTGACAGGAGAGGTCTGCCATGCCATGTGGGACCCTCGCCGGCCGGCAGGGATCGAACAAGCGCTGCAGAGTCTGCAGACAGCTTCACAGCGCGGCGCTCAACCACCAGCGCCACCAGGGGAGGCCCCCCCATGCTTCTTTCTTGAGGCTGCTTGCCTCCTACACATCCTTCGGAAGGCTTCTGGGGCCTCTCCGCTCCAACGGGCCGAGGATCCCGCCCCCGCGCGGGTCCCAGAGCACGGTCCGGCCCCGGCCTGCCCAGGCTGAGCCGCCCCCACTGATCTGGGATTGGGAGCTTCACCCTCCTGTGCGCCACCGCCCGGCACCCAGGAGGCGCCCGTAAGGACTAAATGAATGGAGCGATGCACGAAAGGCGCCACGGTGGGCAGGAGCCGCGGAGCTTAGCGCGCCACGAGACCGACGGCGCGAAGCCCAGCCCCGCCCCTCGCCGGCCCTGGCCGCCCCTCGCCAGCCAGCTGTCGGCGCCCGCCAAGCCGCCGACGCGGCAGACAGGGAGCCCCGCCCCCGCTCACGCGGCGCTCCGTCGCGACACGCTACCCTCAGACGAGCCAATGGACGCGCCCGGCGGGGAGCCCCGCCCCCGCCCCGCGCCGCGGCGACGCAACCAGCCAATGGGAGCGGCCGGCGTGGTCCGCGAGCGGGGGCGGGGGGGGAGCGGGCGGAGCGGGCGCCCGGGCGCGGGGTCCCGGCCGTCGCGCGGCTCCGGCTGTCTTCCGACGTCTGCGGGCTCCCGGAGCGCGGCGGCGGCTCTGCTTAGCCTAGATAACGGACCATGGGGGCTCTGGGCGCCCGGCGCGGCCTGGAGTGGCTGCTGGGGCTCTACTTCCTCTCCCACATCCCCATCACCCTGCTTTTGGATCTGCAGGCGGTGCTGCCGCACGAGCTCTACCCGGCCGAGGTGAGGGCGGCGGTCGCCGAGTTTGGGGCCCTCCGCGCGGCGCTTGTCCCGGCGTCTCACTTGCCCTCCCCTCCCGCGCCCGCGCCCGCCCCGCACCCCTCTTGGTTCCTGCCGGTGCTCCGGCCTCTCCTTGCCTTTCAGCTGGTCCGCGTCGTCGGGGTTTTGTTTTTCCCAGACTCCCCACAAACTGCTGGGGCAGATACTCTATTTGCTTTTCGTTGAGTATGTTTAAGGCTCCCACAGCTCACCTGTGGTCAGTTATCAGTGTTGGAGGGAAGTGGTCTGAATGAATCAGTGTCTAAATCACATGTTGCATTTGATTTAAAGTTGTGTTTCTTGGAAGAACTTTAAAGTGCCATGTAATCTCAAAAAAAAAAAAAGAGAGAGAGAGAGAAAAACTCACAAAACAAAACCCAAGAACAGTTAGACCCGCCTAAAGGGCATTCGCAGATCAAGGCCAGGATACAGAAACTTCAAAAATTGAAGTTAGCAACGCCTTTTCAAATCGGCCCTTTTAATTGGGGTCCAGTAAGAATTATCACCTGAGTAGAAAAAGGCCAAAAGCGCCATTTCCTGGTTTTGGAGGGGAAAGCAATAATTTATTGCTTTTCTTTTAAAAGTTTTGGGAATTTACACAAAAAAAACCAAAAACCCAAACTAATATTTGTTTTTTGTTGCTTTTTATTTTTTCAGAGCTAGTTTTATTTTCTGGTCTTCTTTTATCTGGACCCTATAACCTTCTTCCATGGAATGCATAGCCTCAGTTCTGTTTTCTCCAACTTGTTTGTAGACCTGTGGGCAAGACTGACTTGTCTACTTGAAGATTTGGTTTTGCCTGTTTCTCCTTAAAAGTATTTTTTCTCTGCAGAGAGCGGGTTCTTAACCTGAGGTCCAGGAAACCCCATGGGGTATGCAAACCAGCGTGTGTCTTGTGTTTTCTGGGAAGAGAGTTTATAATTTCCACCAACTTTTCCAGGAGTCTAAGCCTCCCCAGAAGATTAAGAGCCACTGCTAAACATTGCATGGCCCACTTTTGTTTTCTTCTAGAACCAAGCATAATTGGGAAATCCTCTGATCTACCTTTCCTTGGGCAAAATGGAGGTAGCATATGGCAAGAGCATTGGACTGCAGCCTGGAAACTAAGTTTTTTAAAAACTTGACAAATGAGGGCTCTGTTGCCTCAGCTGTCAAGAGACAGTTGGGCTAAATTACAGGCTCAAACATATACAGGATATATTAGCTTCCTATTGCTGCTGTACCAAATTATTAAAAACATAGTGGTTTATTTAAGGCAACACAAATTTATTTTCTTGCAGTTCAGAAGTTTGACATAAATCTTAGAATTGAAATCAGGGTTTCAGCAAGGCTGGTTCCTTCTCTGCATCCTGGAGGAGAATCTGTTCCTTGCCTCTTTTAAGATGTCTGGTGGCTGCCAGTGTCCCTTGGCTTTTGGCCACATCACATCACTCTCTGCTTCTCTCATCACTTCTGCTACCTTTTCTTCTATTCTCAAATCTCCCTCTACCCCACTTTCATAAGGACAATTATAATGACATTGAGGGCCAACCAGATAAGTAGGATAACTCCCCCCTCCCCCAATCTCAATATCCTTGACTTAGTCACACCTAGAGTCTCTTGCCAAATAAGTTTCCATTCACAGGTTCCAGGAATTAGGCCATGACTATCCTTGGGGACCATCATTCAGCCCTATTATGGGCTCAGGTAGTGCAGACTCTTTCTAAGCAGGTCTCTGCAGCTCTGCGATAGCTGTTAATTGCCTTGAAGAAAGGAGAGCTATGTCTGGTTTTCAAAACCTGTGTGCTTATTAGGAATTGGCACGCAGCCTGTTTACAATCTCTAATGTCATGGGTCCCTTTAATACTGGGCAATTATGATGTTATTCCTGGTAGCCATTCCAGACTTAACAGCTGTTAAGTTTCTTTGTTAGTTTCTTTGTTCCTTGTCAGTGTGCCTTTCCCACAGGCCCTTGCTCTTTGCTCACAAAGTGGAAATATACCCAGCTTCATAAAGATCCCCTTTAAACTTATATATTTGATTTGGTAAGGTTTTCTCACCTTTTTTTTTTTTAATGTTGACTTATTGGAAAGGTGCAAGTTTGATGCAGGCAAGATCTCACCAGAGATTTACTTGGGGCCTATGTACCTGTCTGTGACTTTGACTATTTGAAGGCATTAGCAGCTTAGAGGCAACCTGACTTGGGAGGCCTTGGTTTCTATTACTTTTGTTGCTTGGGGAGGGGGGATGGGGGGGGGAGAGGGGAAGGGAAGGAGGGATGATGCTTTTGTTGCTTCTTTATGGGGAAAGTAATAAAGTCCTAAGTTATTCTCAAGATTCTCTCTTTGAAAAAAATGCCAAAATTTAATGTCTTTCCTCGCTAAATAGAACTTTTCCCTAGAATTAAACAACTTGTGGGAGATCACATAATAATTGGGCTAAAATTTGCAGATTAAAAATATCTCTTGGTTTGAATCAAACCAACACTTAGAAAAACTCATGAAACAGTTTTGTTTGGATTAGAGCATAGACGGGAAATGTTTTGTAGTATCTGAAGCTGGGTGGCATTGCTTTTATTAAAATAAGGAAAAACAGATGAACATCTAGATCTAAAGTTGGTGTGTAACCTCATTCTTTTTTTTTTTTTTAATTTAAAGATTTATTTGTTCATACTAGAGCTGGGGTATAGGCCAGAAGTGTGGGGGGTGAGAGGATTCACCAGAGACAGAGTTGGGAACAGAACAGGCAGACTGAGTGAAATCCACTGCTGAAGGTAGCAGTGGGTGAGACAGGAGAAGTCTGCTGTGCCATGTGGGTAGCTCCCTGGCCGGGGATCGAACTTGTGCTGCAGTAGCTGCGGACAGTCTCATAGGTTGCTTCGTAACCCCCTTGCGACACTAGGGAAGCCTGGTGTGTACCCTCATTCGAAGTTAGAGAGGTGTAAGTTCAGCAGCAACTCCTGGTTTAGAAATCATGTGTTCAGGCCAGCTGAATATTTTAATGAATAACAATGGAAGTTGAGCCAAGTGAGTCAGGTATAAATGGAGACAGTTTCATGGCATTTTTGGGGTCCCATCTAATAAGAATTCTCATGAATGACCAGTTGTTGCTGACATTTTAATAGGAGTAAACTTGAACCTCTCCAAATATCTGTTAATTACATTCAATTAAGTAACCTTAATATTTATAACATGCTAGCCATTGTTCTAAACTCATTTTATCAAAAGTAAAATATAAATGTTACCAGCAATGATGTAGATACTATAATTGGCCCTACTTTATAGATGGGAAACAAGCTTAGTGAGATGAAGGGCTCTGCCCGGAGCGAGGCACCCTACCACAAGGTCCCATGCCCTTCACTCTACTGAGGGCTTGGGCCTTGTGTCCCACTCACCCTGAGTCCCAGCCTCCTATCCTTAGGTCGCTGGTATATGTCTGTGGGCAGGTGTTGGGTTCTAATTGATGATTACAAAGCTGGCATTAGTTTAAATTTTGCAAATCTCATCTTGCAACCCTTAGAAATTCTAGTGCTATACAAATCAGCCAGGATTTATGAAATAGGTGAATCTGAGAGACTACATAAAATAGAATAGAAAATGAAGTTCAAATGAACCAGATTGCCTTTCAAATTCTGCAGTCAATCTTATTTATTATTTAATTTTTAATTTATTTTTGCATAGACAAACTGGGGTGTAGACCAGAGGTGCGGCGCGGGGGTGTGTATGAGAGGATTCACCAGAGACAGAGTGGGGAGCAGAACATGCAGATTTACTGAAATACACTGCTGAGGGGAGCAGCGGGCAAGACAGGAGAGGTCTGCTGCGCCACATGTGGGTAGCTCCCTGGCTGGGATCGAACTCAGGCCATAGCAGTGATAGCGCGGAGACGTAACCCCTAGGCCACCAGGAAGGCCCCTGCAGTCAGTCTTTTAAATCAGGTAGTTCCTGCCAATATTTTTTAAAGTTAACCTAGAAAGCAAAATAGGATCTTAAAAAACATGTAGTTCAGGTTGCTTGTTTTACAGATGAGGAAATAGAACCTAGGATGGATAGAGTGATTTAACCTTTATAGTATTTTCTATGATACCATTCTGAAAAGTGCTTAGTAGGAAGCAAAAGGTATCACTGTGAATTCAAATTCCAAATCATGTACAAATCGGAGGTCATTTGGTCAATAAATTGTTTATCTAGCCAGAATCTTCCTGAAATTAACATTATGCTAACAGAATGTTTCTGGCTATTTGCTTAAAGCTCACTCACAGCAATGAGGCATCTATTTCATAGTAGTAAGCTTTTAGCTTTTGATCAAAAATTAACAGGAAAAATCTCTTTGAATTTCCCGTTGTATCTTACCATGGAAGTTGCCTTTATCACACTACCAAGACATATATTTGTCTTTGAAGTCAGGTGTGTTAAGACAACGCCTTTGCCCATGGCCACCTCCAGAAGTGAGTGCCACCTTGTACAGTAGTCCACGTAGCATGGACAGCCCTAGGCTTTGGGCTCTTAAAAAAGCACAAAATGGGCAGGAGCCTCCTCAGAGTGTGCTCCTCCCGTCCTCCGACTGTAGCCATTCAGTGTGGGTCTGCGTCTTTTGATTTGACAGCATAATTATGAGGCCCAAGCTAGAACCAACACAGATCATTTTCTCAGGCTTTGCTGTAACCTAGCAGCTATATAGTTTGTGGTTCAAGGCAGCTTGTTCTTCCATAAATAGCCAGCTAGTCTCCTAAAAGAAGTAACTTTTAGATGTAAGGAGTTAAGAATAATGAGGAACTTGGGACTTTGGAATTATTTAAATTGTCTGAAATTGCATCTTCAAAGAGGTTAGATTTCTACTACCATCCTCGTCTTAAAAAAAAAGACAAGGAATTCAGTTCATTTCTGTATTTGAGGGAACAGCGCTTCAGGGCTGCTATGCAGTAGCTGTTATGAAAGGACAAATGTCAGATGTTTCCACATCTGTCTTTATAAAGAATATTGTTGGCGGATAGGTCGCATTTGTGTGTTCATTCAGAAACATCTGAGACCCTACTAAGTGCCAGATGCTATTGCTCTTGACTGTGGGTGGCACAGCCAGGTGTGTGTCGCAGCGTCAGGAGCAGAAGCCAGGTGGCACAAAGGGGCCAGCAGAGCTGAAGACTTCCCAGAGAAGGTGGCATGTGCAATGAGCCAGTGGGTTTGTGTGAAATCACCATCTAGGTTGCATCACCAACGCCAGCAGAGCAAGCCATTCTGCTGAGGGTAGAGATTCTTCAGTGGGTTGGCGTGGCTGCAGGTGGCGATATTCACTGAGATCTTTCTTTTCCCAGTTGACAAAGCTGCTGAAGTGGTATGCAAAAGAGTTCAAAGACCCTCTGCTGCAGAATCCCCCATCGTGGTTTAAGTCCTTCCTGTTCTGTGAGCTTATGTTCCAGCTGCCTTTCTTTCCCATCGCAACTTATGCCTTCTTCAAAGGTTGGTAAATAGTGGGGAAATCCTTTTTTTTCTTTCTTTTTTTGCTCTGAAATCAGGCCCAACAAATCTTTTGGGGAAGGATCTCCAGGGGTTGGGGGGCCTCTGTGGTTGGTGTGAGGGTGAGGTAGGATGTGACAGGAACGGGCAGAATAGCGCTAGGAAAGGGACATTCAGAGTAATGTTACTGACTGCCTGGGTCACCTGGAAACCCTGAGGCTGCCTAAATGATGAATTTATCCATTTTTACTGTTGTTTTTTATTTCCCCTCTGCATACAGAATTTCTCTTTTATTGTTGGCGTTTATTTTCTGCTTTTGATAGTATCCTACCAACTGTAAACATAGTAGCACCGAGCTAGAGCTTACTTTCACCAGAAGGGCTTACTTTCTCATTGAAAAATTATTCTGACTATGTCCCCACATGACTGATGCCTTCATAAAGAAGGGGGCCAGCCCAGTGCATGTAGTAACTAGGCTTGTGCAGCGATTCCCCCTGGGCTCTCTGAATCCATCTCTTGGCAGAATTTGTTACCCACTCACCTGTATGGCATAATAAACAGATGCCACTGCCACGGCTCCTACCCTCCTTGAATTTTAGATCAACTGGGTTTGACCAGTGTTGGCCATTTACTGCCCTAGAGTTTTTTCTGAATTAAAATCTGACCCCACCCTTGGTTCTTTGGCAGCCAGTATGCTAAGGCCCCAGCTGTCACATAATTTTTCGAGTTGAATAGTAGTACAGACATCTAGTTTTCCATCTGTTTCCAGTTGGAAAAGGAGGTGGAATGATTCAACTGAGTATCATTGGCAGAGGCAGGGCAGAGAAGGACGTGAGCAACCCTGGAGTCGTGAACACACCTAACCTGTTATCTTTTTCTCTTATGACCTCAGGAGGCTGCAAGTGGATCCGCACCCCTGCAATCATCTACTCAGTTCATACCATAACGACTCTAATTCCAATTCTCACCACGATTCTGTTTGAGGATTTCTCCAAAGCCGGTAGTTTCAAAGGACAAGGACCTAAGACTGTCCCAGAACGACTAACCCTCGCGTCTGTCTATGTCCCCTACTTGCTCATCCCTCTCATGCTTCTGCTTTTCATGTTGCGGAGTCCCCACTATAAGTATGAGGAGAAAAGAAAGAAAAAATGAAAGAACCACTGGGCCAGGGGAGAGATGCCCACAGGGCAGTTTCCTGTTGACCCAGTACAAGGAAAACTGCTCACAACCCACATCTTTGGTAGCATTGGAAACACCAGCAGCAACACACAAGAGCAAGACACTGGCAGGAGCCAAGTTAAACTCTCCCGAGGGCACTGGCACAAACAGACCGATCACCTGCTGACTGGCAGAAGGGTGTGTGCTAGGGTGTAGGGAAATGGTGCCAAACACCTCAGTGTGGGCCTAGGATCCACTGCAGGATTTAAAACATGAGACCAAACCAGAATCTGGATAAACTAAGAAACATGGCCTGCTTGGCATATTCATGAATCATCCCCCAGTACACGTGACTAAATCTGTCACTCATGTTTCTCTACAGCATATCACTAATCAACAAAGTGAGTAGGGGGATGCCTGAGTCCATTTTAAAGTTAGAAATCATGTCTCCCTAATGTTCAAAAACTCTTATCATGTTTTCTGTCCCAGGAGAAAAGTTTTGTCTGTTTATTTTCTTTCCAAACCTATACTTCATTTTACAAACCATCTATAATAAGTACCTTTTCTCTGAGGTCTGATTTCCAACCTGATCTGGAAGTGTACTTCCTTCTGGATAACTTCGTCCTAATAGTTTAATCATTCCTTCTGTCTTGTTCTCAGTCCTAGGAGGGAGACGGCTGAGCATAACGTCCAGTGTGTGCACTTAGGTTCTCCACGTTAGTATCTGGTGTTCCATTAGCTTTCTCTAAATCCAAACACAAAGCCAACTCTTTTGAAAAAAGACTTGTGAATGCACATGGAAAACTGTGGAAACTGGACCCAGTCAGTTCCTTCTCTTTGCCTGTTTGCTCACAAGCCATACTGGTCTGATTGCCGGGACTGTTGTCTGACTCATGTGTCTGGTCCAAATAAAGGTAGCTGCTGACCACTGCCTGGTTTCTTTTGTGGACTAGGGGCTAGAGAATCCAGCACTCTCTAACAAGGGGTTAAATGTACACTTCAAGGGCATCAGGAAAAAGGTAGATCAAGCCATTGAAAAACAATAATTTATTGCTTTTTGTTTCAAATTTTTGTGAATTTACCAAAAAAAAAAAAAAAAAGCTTACAGATAGCTCAGTTCAGACTAAGAACACAAGAGGTGAGAACCTGGATCACCGTGGTCACGGGGTATTCACCAGCGGAGATGCTCTGACATCTGAAACAAGCGCCCCCAGATGTGTTTTATTGCCTTCGTAGAGCTGCATTCCTTACACATCTCACACAACATACTTGGGTCATTAGTCAAATCACTGGAATGGTACAGAGGTGTTTTTGGTCTTTGATTTTTTTTTTTTTCCCTCCTGCTATAAAATTAAATTTTCAGTTCATTTCTGAAAAATAAATTGGTCAATAAATTCATTTTGTTCTGCTTCTACTTTACACAATGCTTCATATTCAACCCGATACCTGAAAAACAAAATTGTTAGAAGCCCTAAAAATGAGTGAAATAAACTATCAACTTATTCTTCTAAAAGAAGACTAGAGGTGGCTTAAATGATTCTAGGAAATAGTGTCAGTTCAGAATGAAGAAATCAGTAAGGGCAAGAAAGAAAAGCGACAGCCACCCGTGAGAAGTGTCCAGCCCACAGTGGGTCTTCTCCCAGACAGCCTCCCCCTCTGTACCTCGCTACCTGGACTTCCATGCTCTTAAGCTACTAGAGGTTCCTGGATATTAACAAAGAGCAATTCTTTTTTCTTTCCCATCAAATGTAATTTTATTCTAAAAGTCTTAAAACAGGATGACAACTGAGACACAATTCCTGAGAGAGCAGTGATGAGTAAGGACAAGAGGTACCCGAGAAGGAAAAATAGAATCACAGTAGAGAACTTCACTGGATGGTGTCTTACCTCTCGAGTTGCATTTTCTTTTCTGCTATTAGTGCTTGGAGTTGCTGCTGTTGGGCTTCTCTCTGCTTTGCTATAGATTTGAGCAAGTTCCGCGCGCCGATGGCCTAGAGAGAGACGGCAGTGCCAAAGAAGGTCATGGCTTCATTAAAACCATCTTCAGCATGAAGTCCTCACTGGGGAAGGCCCCCTGGAGGCCATCCCAGTGCACAGCAGGGCGAAAGTGAAGCCCTAGAGCTTTAGGAGTTAAGTCAAGAAGCAGGATAAACCTCATGACCGCAAACTGCCTGATGGGAACTGCAGAGCAGCACTAATGCAGACCTCTGAGCACCCCCAGGGCCTGATAGGCCACTTAGCCTCATGTCCTTTGCCCAGTCATACTGTGTTTCTTCATTTATCAAGTGAGAAACCACCTGATGATGTGAAAATTAAAGAAAATAATGACAAAGTATACTAGCATGTAAGAGTTTAATAGTAGGTTAACTGGATCAGGAATTGAGTCAAACCTTGTTTTAATTAAAGAATCTGCCCTCCCCTCCCCTGGGAAAAAAAAAAAAAAAAGGTTAGTGAGCCAGGGCCCCTACCACCATATGGACAGAAGACATACAGATCTTACCTTCATCTTCTCATTTTCTGCTTCTTTCGCAAGTTGGTCAACAAGCTCAATCAGACCACCAACTATTTTCTGGAACTGGCCAATTTCTTTTGGGGAAAGAACAAAAAATGTTTTATTTTCTAGCACCATCACGCTCCCTCAGCATTGCCTTTCAGGGAGAGGGCAGGGTTACTGCCCTCTAACTTGCGTCAACACAACGGGGTGCCTGCTGGCCTAGCCTCCCATGCTTGGTCTGAACCTAGAGGAGGTTGGTCAGGTACCCAGAGTTGGACCGGGGCACACCGGGACCCCGAGTCCTCACTGAGCCAGCCAGTGCTGCTGCTTCGGGCTGTGAAGGCACCAGACCCCTGGTGGGCCCATCTTGCTCTCTCAGGAGTGGCAGGAAGCAACGGGCTGTGTTCCTGAAAGGACCGTGCGTGAAAGTATTGCCTTAACATGAATGTGCCTCTCATTAGTCATAGATAAGTCACTACTTAATGGTGGGGTGGGGCTCCCACTGTAACCAGAGTTAATAAACAGCACAAAGTATCTAAATAGCTAACCTCCCATTCATTCTCGTCAATGTTCTTGGATGTGGTGGAACCCCGTTTTACGGATTCATAAACAAAGGCCCCCAGCAGTGAGACACCACACACCCAGCAATCACAGAACACTGGCCACATAATCCATGCTACCCTTCACCAGTCAAGCGCTCTCCACAGCCTATGAAGTCCTGGAAAGCTCAGAAATCTCTGCTTGACTAAATTAGCCCTGTAGTCATTGCCCCAGCCTGCCTGGCTACTGGGTCAGGAGGTGTCCTAGAGATTGCTAGCAAAATGGTGACTTCATTAAGTCTTTCATTCCAAATAATGGCAGGCCTGCCAGTGAGAACACTTTCTCCCAAGAAATCAAACCATGAGCACATGACTCTTATTTTCTGCCCTTCGGCCATGGTTCTGCCCCATTAAGTTTAAGATTTCCGAGAGGGAACAAAGAAAGATGGCATTATCTGAAAACACCTTTCTTTCCCCATCCAGTGTTCTGACTGGTGCTCAGCCGGGACCACAGGAGACATGAGAAGAGGGCAAGCAGACATGACAGGCAGTACAAAGGAATACATGAAGGCCAGGCTCAACCCCCCAACCCCCCACCAAAGCCAGCATCTCCCTTCTGGCAGGCCAAGAGCTGTGGTCCAAGATTGGGGGCACAAATGGAACAGTTCAAGCTGAATGGACCTTCGCTCCCAAATGATACTCACTGTCCACAAAGTCCTTGCATTCTTCCTTGAGCTCTATGGTCTGCTGGGTAACCTCTGGGTCCAATACCCGCAGCTTGTTCAGCTCATCAAAGTGCAGCCCTGCTTCACCCAGGATGTCCTTGGCCATAGCTGCAAAGAAACCAGCCCCGATCCCTGATCTCTTCCCAGCCACCCAAGCAAATGCCTGCTTCCAGCCCAACCCCATTCCTGCCCCCAGGGATGCCAATGCCCAAAACCAAGAAGATCCAAAGGCTCCCCCTTCCCTCTGCCTCCACCTCTCTGAGCCTCACCTGTTTCCCTTCCAGTTTCCCTAGAGAAGTTCTGTTCTGAAGGGGTGACAGTGGCAGCCAGGAGGAGGTGTGTCATAGGAGCAAGGGTCAGGAAAGAATAAAGTCCGGTTGCTTGTCACAGGCATCGTTCATTCAACACACATTTCTGGAGTGCCTACTACATGCCAGCACTGCTAGGTGCTGGGGGTACAAGGATGAGTGCAACATGGTGCACGCCCTGGAGGAGCACAGAGTTTAGCTGGAGGAAGACAGACATGTAAACTGAAAAATTATACCAAAGCGTTTGTACAGAAATATCATTAAAGCACCAGAGGAAGACAGAGCAATTAACTTGGGGTGAGGGTTAGGAGTGACAGTTGAATTAAGTTGTGAGCCATAAGCACATTTATTTATCCCCAGTTGCGTACCCAAAGGACATGAAAAAGCTGTTCAAAATACATGTACTGAAACAACACAGAAAGCAAGTAAAAGAAGAAATCTGAGTGCATTAAAAATTAAAGTTAAAAAAAATAAGAGGGAGTAAGAACATCACCCCAAATATATGCCACAGGATACTGTACACATCTGGGACCCAAGTTGAGTCAGTCCCTTTCTAGCAGAAAAATGGAATGGTGTTATCAGGAAGAACATACCAAGTAAGGAGGCCAGGGAAAGGCATTCCAAGCGGAGGAAACAGCATGGGCTAGAGGCTGAAGTCACTGACAGAGCCTATCTGCCTGGAAGGTGAAAGAACAGAGGACAGGGCAGGAAACATCAGTTGGAGTCAATCAAGAAGACCCTGTGTGCCCAGCTAAGGAGTTTGGATTGTTTTCTGTAAGGAACAGAGAACCAGCAGAGCTATCTTCTCCCTCCCCAGGCCACCGTGCATTTCTGGTCCAAAGGATACCTCATTTCTGGGAAAGAAATACTGAAAACTCACCCTCATCCTGGCTTAAAAAACAAAAACCAAACAATCTGAGCACATGCCCTGTCTAAAAAGGGAGGCAATACTACTTAGGACTACCCCCCAGCTGCCAGACCAGTTCCGAAATCCCAGTGTTCCAAGGTTCCCATCACCTGACCCTACCCCAGCCCTTCCCTCGCTCCCACCTCCCCCGTCACCTTTTCCCTTCCGGTTTCCTGAAAGAAGTTCTGTTCTGAACTGGGTGATTCTGGGAGTGACTGCCAGAGCAGGTGTTCCAAAGAAGAAGCAATGGTTAGAAAAGAACTAATCCCCATTTTTGCCAGCACTTCCGATTTTCAAGAGGGTGAGAAATCTAGACTTATATATGAACCTGATTTTTAAAGGAAGGTTTCAAGGGAAAAACAAACAAACAAATATCCAATACTGCGTAGGCCAATCAATACATGTGTATAGGCTGTCTCTGTATATGACTATGGCCCTCGGCCGTCAGCATCACTGGAATTCAGTGATGTTAAGTAGGCTAGCATCTTTATTTTGCAACATTTTAATCATTCAGAGCTTCCCCAAAATTGGGCATTTTAAGAAAATCTGTCTTCTGAGTTCTGTTATATTACCAAATATAACACTTAATGCTTATCAGGTGATTAATTGGAAAAGCTTCAAGTAACCCAAGGGAGCAAACGTCTGCATTATCTTCCATTGCCTTCCCTGAGAGCACACATTTACTCAGAAACACCTTCTCTGTCCCTGGTCCAAAGATAGTGTAATGAAGGAAATGCTTTGGTTTCTGATAGTAAACAAATAATCACAAATTGTGTTAACAGTATGAAGAAAGGCACATGGTGCTATATGAAGCTGCAGCAGGGCATCATTTACATGGGGGGAGAGGAATCAACAAAAGCCTCTGAAAAAGTGACACTTAAGCTGAGACCTAGAGAATGCAGGAGGCGGCAATGCAGGCAGAAGGAAAACGTGAAGGTTCTGAGGCTATAAGAAACTTAACATTCCAAGACTCTCAGTGGTTGAAACAGTGATCAAGGTGGAGCACAGGAGTGGATGAGGCTAGATGGGCAAACTAGAGCTGGATCACAGAGAGCTCTGAAAGCCGGGAGCTTGAGTTTCATCATAAGGATAATGGGCAGCCACTGGATTCCCAGGTGCGTGACATAATCAGATTTGCCTTCTACAGAGCTGACTGGCTCAAGGTGGAGAATGGAGGGAACAAGTGGGTAGTACACCTACTTTGTTCCTCACTATAACCCTAGCATCTAGCATGGTGCTAGCACATAACCGGCACTCAGTAAATGTTTGTGGAATGAATGACTGAAAACAGAGGAAGCTATGTGTCACCAAGGCTTGGAGCTGAAGAAGTGTTCTAATTTGAGGTGCTTTATAAGGCGAGCTGATGGGACTTAGTAAAGAACTGACTGAATGTAGGAGCTTGGGGACAAGGGAGGAGGCAAGATTCCAGCACTGAACCAAGTGTATAGTTGGAGGGGATAAATGAATGGGATGGTGAGGCCGGAGAAAGAGTGCAGGAAGGTTCACAGTGGGCTATAAGATTTTCCTCCAACTCCCACCACAGCGCGTTGAGCATCTGCAGCACACTGACACAACAGCCGAGTCCACTGAGCTCCCTGAAGGCGGGGCCACTCCCTCCGCTGCCCTGGCTCTCCCAGATCCCAACCTGGCACTATGAGCAGACTTCATCCATGGGGTGAGGGCAAAGAGCACTAAGCAGAAAGTTAGGGAGACCGTGTTGATGAAGCTGTCTTTACTATGTAAACTCCCTCAATTAATCTGAGCCACAGTTTTCCTCATAAGATCGTTACGCGCTTCGACGCATAAACCTCCAGGCCCAAACTGGATGTAAAACCGCTCCCGCCCCCAAAAAGTCGGGCAGAATCTCCACGTTTCTTTCGGCCTGGGGCTGCCTTTCCTCGGGGCGCAAACCTGTCAGGCTCATCTCAACCCAGGGGCGCTCCCATCCCCGAAGCGGACTGCCTACCTGGCGGCCCCGGAGCCGCAGCTCTCGGTGCCACAGCAGATGTCGGCGGACAGCTTCGCTCCGGTCAGGCACAGCCCGCGCCCAGCCCGCCCGCCACCCTCGGCCGCTGCCACGGCTACAAAAAAAATCTGTTTACCCGTGACGTCACTACCTGACACCGGAAGCACTTATGCCCCTTCAGCCCGCAGAGCCTGCCGGGAAGCAGAGGCCCGAGTGGCGGGATGGCGCCTACAAGGTCCAGAGACCTTTGCGCCGGAGAGGCTGCCGGAAGTAGCTGTGCGCTCCCCAAGGAATACTTTCGGCGGCTCCGCCCTCCCCCCTTATTAGGTGCTCGGCATGCCCCGACTCGCCGTCGTTGGGCTCCGGGACCCGGGAGCTTTGGGGCGGAGTCCACAGGCGAGGACGTGAGCTCACAGCCCGGGACTGCTGGCAGGCCGGCGGCCACAGCGAAGGGGCGGCACGGTGTGGGCTTGTAACCCGGCGAAGAAGAGAGGCGCCCCGCGGACGGTGAGAGCAGGGCCGGCCGATGCCCTAAGAGAAGGGATGGCGGGCCCCGGGCCGGAGAGAAGAGAGCCCGTAAACTGCCCTGGGGAAATGGCGTGGGTTGGCGGAGGGGACTTGGAGAGCTCAGATCCCCCGCTGGGGGTCGGTAGCAGAACGGGTCGGCCCCGGATTTCTCGGTTGTCAGGAGGGGTACGGACCGGAGAAGACGACGGTGGCCACAGAGCGCTTGGGTCTCCCTAAATTGCCCCAGAACCTTTGGATGGAGACTAAGATTTACATTTAGGATTTCTGCTAAATCCATCCTCTATAACCTAGATCGGCTTCCTCCCATCCCCCATCCTCACACACCCACACGTTCCCCCACCCTCCACCGCCGTGATGGTTTGTCCTTTATTCTGCTTGGGTGCCCTTTAGCTTTGCAGAGTGAGGCACGGTTACGCCCCTAACCCCAGGCATCCCCAAATATCCACACACAAAGTCCGGAAGGAAGAACACTGAGGCTATCTGTGGAAACTTCATTCTCACTGGAATTACTTTCTGGGGCGTCACTTGCCACAGGATTCCTTGGAGCCCATTGGTCTGGAAGGAATCTGAGCTGACGTCATCCAGGGGCTCAAAGCAATTGCTTTGTAGGAAAGGACTAGATTAGCTCTAAATTTGTCTTCCTCTGTTGGCAACCGCCTAACCTTTCAGTTCCTTTATTTTGGCAGAATATACATGTGTGCTTTCTTGGTCCTGGGGAAGTTGGGCCTAGACACAAAATACACAGGGAACTGTTGAAGTCTGTTAAGGGGTAGATTTATTCCTTTGGGGCAGGGGAGTGATCTCCTTCTGTTCAAGTGTTACTGATTGGGCTCTCCCCTGGGGAGGGCTCATCTCTCATAGTCCATCCTTGAGGCAAATGGGACTCCCCTGGACCAGCCCCCAAAGGAATTGAGAACTTCACAGAGCACCTGCTCTTGCCCCTCCTTGGACGTTCTTCTCAGGAATCTGCCTAAATCTTTTCAGGAATAATTTCAGTTAAGCTGACATAGAGGAAATACTTTAACATGTGCATGGCATTGTGTTAGGCAGTGTTTGGAGAGTGGGGAGACCATTGCACTAGTTCTCAGGTTGCATGTATAAGAGAGGATGAGCAACTGTCAGCTTTTGCATGTGGTGATGATTGAATGACGTACTTCTTTTTTTTTTTTTGTCTGAACTTCCAGCCCTGGCGTCGCAGCGTTCATCATCTCTTGCCTACACCACTGCTTCCTCTGTCTTCCCACTTCCTCTCTTGCACCCTAACAATCCTTTCTCTGTACAGTAGCCAGTGAGATTTTTTTTAAAGATTTATTTATTGAATACATGAGCTGGGGTACAGGCTAGAGGAGCGGAGGGTGACAGGATTTACCAGAGACAGAGTGGGGAACAGAACAGGCAGACTGGCTGAAATACACTGCTGAGGGGAGCAGCGGGCGAAGCAGGAGAGGTCTGCTGCGCCATGTGGGTTGTTCCCTGGCCATTCCATGGCTAAACTCTGCTGCAGAGGCTGCAGACAGCTTCACAGTGCTGTGTTTAACCCCTTGTGCTACCAGGGAGACCCTCAGAGATCTTTTCAAAATATAAGAACTAAGTAACTCAAAATATAAGTAACTCATGTCACTCTCTCACGTAAAAACACTGATTACTTCCCACTGAAATTCGTATGAAATCCAAACTTTTTAATATGACTTCCTTCCCTGACTTTACATCAGGCACATTTCCCCCTTCTTTCTATATGCCAGCCATCTTGGCCTTATTTCTGTCCCTGAAATTTTGTGTAGAACTAAAGAACTTTGTAATTACTCTTCCATCTGGAATGTTCTTTTAGATCTCAGCTGGTGTGTCACCTTCCAAAAGAGACCTTCCCTGGCTTCTCCCTAGTCACTCCTGTTACACCTATTTTATTGTCTTTATTGCATTTACCCCCTTCTGGAATTGCTTGCTTATTTATCCATTTTCTTTTTTTTAAGATTTATTTATTTATGCTTACAAGAACTGGGGTACAGGCTAGAGGTGCTGGGGGTAGCTCCCATGTGGGTAGCTCCCTGGCCAGCCTGGGATCTAACTAGTGCTGCAGAGGCCACAGACAGCTTCACAGTGCTCTGCTTAACCCCTTGCACCACCAGGGAGGCTCCTCATTATTATTTTATTGCTGAACAAATTAAATGAGCTAATAAATATTACATGCCTGGTTAGTACCTGAACAAAGTGCATACATGCAATGGATAACAGCTATTATTTTTTCTTAAGTGAATGAACTTTAGTGATTTTTTTGAAAACCAAAACATACAATACACAATCAAAACCATGAGGGATAACGTCCTCCTTTGCTTTCTTCAGTCTTCCCTCCAGTGAACTCCTATTAGTGTTTTAGTTTCCAAATCACTTAGTTCTTTTTAGACTCATCACCTGGTCTTTGCTAGATCTTTCTCCCCTTGTAAAGAGGCAACTGAGGAAGAGAGGGGACTGGGCCCCCTTTCAGGAAAAAGAAGCAAAAATAGCCATCCTGTCGTTGTTCTATCCTGGAAAATGGGGACAATTTCAGGAACTTGGGACAGGGCTGGTGCCAGGAAAGGGGGAGGTCAGGAAACCCTAGCTAGAGCCACAGTATCCACCGCCAGGAATACTCTAGCTCCCTCCAGCCTGGCTCATTCCATGCTTTCCTGAAGCTGCGTTTGCCTTCCCAAAGCCAGACTCTGGGATACTCAGTAAACACTGGTGCAGGCTGCTCCTGAGCCTGGAATCTGTAGAAAGGAAGTGCATCCTGTCCCTTGGCTCCTGGGAAACTCCTAGGCTGACTGGATTCCTATTAGGTTTGGCTAGAAGTCTCAGATCCTGGGAAAGTCGAAGAGAAAATAAGCGGAATCTCTTTGGGTGGGTCTCCAGGGTGAAGACTTCTGTTCTGCCCGGTCTGTTCCTCAAGCCACCTTGGACTTGCTTATTGTCTTCTTTGCTGCTTATTGTCTTCTTTGCTGCTCAGAGGTGTGCTGAGTCTCAGGCAGTTACGTGACCAACGTCACACTCTGGAAGACTGAGCTCAGCCCCGGTATCATAAAGAACAGCGAGCACATATTTCTTGCCACTGACAGGTCTCAATCTCTGCCAGGGAGTCTTGGACTGATTGAGGAGAGGAAGGCTGGGTGACCATTGTTTATCCTGGGGTTCCCTCCTGGATGAGGGCTTTTCTCTGTTGACTCCTGTCTTCTTTCCCTTCTGTTCACAGTGCTGAGAGTGAGAGTATGAGGCTCTGGCTTCTGCTGGCCACTCATTTGTGACCCTTTCACGACGGCGGAGCCTTCCAAACTGACCTGCCGTGTGGTGATCTACCTGCAGCGGGAGATGTCGGGAGACACCTGTCTGTGCCCAGCCTCGGGGGCCAAGCCCAAGCTGAGCGGCTTCAAGGGAGGAGGCCTGGGCAACAAATACGTGCAGCTCAATGTGGGTGGCTCCCTGTACTACACCACGGTGCGGGCGCTAACCCGGCAAGACACCATGCTCAAGGCCATGTTCAGTGGGCGCATGGAGGTGCTGACCGACAAAGAAGGTGAGGACTTGTTGGGGGCTTAGGGGGAGAGGAGGAGTTCTGAGGGAGTGTCTTCAGGGCAGGGCATAAGCCTAGCAGATCTAGAATCTAGACTCACTTTACTATTCACCTGGAGTCCTGAAAAGCTTCAGAATTCCTTGGAAGTGTACACAGAATGTGTTTATGTGTTTTCCAGGGAGAAGACCCACACTTATTTTATGTTCATTTAGAGCTAGATCTTGTTCCATAGTAAGTGATGGCAGTGGGCAGAAGGCAGGCAGGCCTGGTGGTTTCTGTGTTGCCAAGAGGTGGACCTGAGCTTAGACCTTTGTGGGCTTCCACCAAGCCTGGAGGGCCTGTCTCCCCAGGTGTGTGTCAGCCCTTGGTTTCAGGCAGGGGGCAAAGAGCAGCCATGGACCTAAGAGGTAGATAGAGCTTCTGTCTCACTTCCATTTCCTGGACCAGGGCTCTGTGCTCACGTGCGTCTTGCTTGGCCACCTGCCGCCAGGCCGGTCAGGTGGCCTTTGCAAGCCGCCTGCTTCTGCAGTACCCGGAGGCAAACAGCAAACCTCTGGGACCTGTTTGATCCCCTAGGCTGGATCCTCATAGACCGATGTGGAAAGCATTTCGGCACCATTTTGAATTACCTCCGCGATGACACCATCATCCTCCCTCAAAACCGGCAAGAAATCAAGGAATTGATGGCTGAAGCGAAATATTACCTCATTCAGGGACTGGTGGACATGTGCCAGACTGCCCTGCAGGTACGGCGAGGTGTGGCGGTTTGGTGCAGTGGGGAGCTGGCCCCCTTCTCAGGGATGGAAGGGCCCTGTCCCTGGAAGCTGTGTGGCCGGTGTACTTGTTAAGACCAGGCTCAGTTAGAAACACCCAGCTGTTGGCCAGGCCGAGTGAGTTTGCAGGGTGAGTAATCAGGCAGTCTGACCAGGCCCTGCTTCTAGGTTATATGCCTGGTCTGGATTTTAGGTTCTCTGGAAATGGATTCTGCTTGCCAGCTGGCAGGTTCAGTTACCAGGGGCATCCTGACCTCTGCCTGATGCTCCTCAGCAAGCAGGGGTGGCCTTAGCAGAGGGGCCCGGACAGCTTCTGGGGAGACTGGCCAAGCGTGGTGAGCAGATCTCAACAAGATTCTCGGCTGTGTCATCCAGGACAAGAAGGACTCGTGCCAACCTGTGTGCAACATCCCCATCATCACATCCCTGAAAGAGGAAGAGAAGCTCATCGAATCCTCCACCAAGGTAGGGAGACCTCTGAGGAACCCCTAAGGGCTACAGGTAGGAGTGTTAGGACCCTGGCCCTGACCTCACCCTCTCCCTCCTTACAGCCCGTGGTGAAGCTGCTATACAATAGGAGCAACAACAAGTATTCCTACACCAGGTAGGGTGGGCTTCAGCAGGGCAGGGTACGGGGTGGGCTACAGAAGCAACTGAGAGGACTGAGCAGCCAGAGAGGAGATTGGGCAGCAGACCCCAGAGAAGTCACCAAACTGGCATGGCTGGCATAGGTCTGGGTCTCAGGAGGGAAAAACAGACAGTAGACAGGAAGTCAGGGCAGAGGCATTTGGAATTTGTAACAGCGCCTTGGGATATAGACGGGACTGAACATGTAACACCATGTCAGCCCGTGTCCAGGGGCTTCCCCAGCATTATCTTATGGGACACCTAAGCCAGCCTTCATACCTCAGAGCTGGGCCCATCCCCCTCTAACCCCCACCCCCACGTCTGCAACAGGCCACAGTTAGGGATACACAGAAAGCTCCAGGCTCAGAGTCCCATGCTGTCTCAGTGGTTCCCCTTGCCTATGGCACCCTACAGCAAGGAAAGAATGTTCCTGCTGAGGCAGGGGAGGGGAGGGGTGAGATGGGGTGGGGTGGACCCAGCCACCACCTTCGCATGTGCTGGAGCCTCATTCCCAGGCCCGCTGGCTCTCATGGGTTTTTCAGTAACTCTGACGACCACCTGCTAAAAAACATTGAGCTGTTTGACAAGCTCTCCCTGCGCTTCAACGGCCGTGTGCTCTTCATCAAGGACGTCATCGGGGACGAGATCTGCTGCTGGTCCTTCTATGGCCAGGGCCGGAAACTGGCAGAGGTGTGCTGCACCTCCATCGTGTATGCCACGGAGAAGAAGCAGACCAAGGTGTGAGAGCTATGTGGGGGTGAGGGCAGGACACACTCACCAGCGCAGCCCCGACTGACCCTTTCACCACAAGGAGTGGAAAGGGCATGTTTGGCCCTCCCCAAACTCACCATGGTGGTGCAGGGCAAGGACAAAGCCAGTTCCAGGGGCTTGGGGACTGGCAGGGGAACAGTTTGTTCTTGTCAGCCCAGGGCTATAGAGGGTAGTGACCAGCAGGGAGTAACCTGATTTGGTGGGAAGGACCAGATCTTTGAAGTTACCCCAATTCAGGTTTGAATTCTGGTTCTACCGTTTATCAGTTTCATGACTTTGGAAAGGCCACTTTTACCATCTGGGCCTCAGTTTACTCCTTGCAAACATGAAGATGACATGCGTTTAACACAACTCTTAGAAGTTCTTAGGTGAAGCAGCTCGACGTGGTGGAAATAGCTATTCTCATCTGTCTGGCTGCCGCTGTCTGGGTGTTCTAGTTGGGTGTTCCTGGTCAGTCAGCTTTGTCTCTGCAGTGTCACAGTGCCAGGCACAGTGACGGATTTGACACACACTACTAACTAGCCCCATTTTGCCAGACTGCAAGCAGACCACCCTCCCCGGAGAGTATCTACCTTACCCCTCCCCCTGCCCCCATGAGCACGTGTTAGAGACAGCAGGGCTTTGCTGGGGTTCAGGGGAGGACAGTTCACCCCCTCTGCATGCTCCATCCCTGGTATGAAACCTCAGTCTTCTTGTCCCCCACATTCTAGGTAGAGTTTCCAGAGGCCCGAATCTATGAGGAAACACTCAATGTCCTACTTTACGAGACCCCCCGAGTCCCTGACAACTCCTTGTTGGAGGCCACAAGCCGTAGCCGCAGTCAGGCTTCCCCCAGTGAAGATGAGGAGACCTTTGAACTGCGGGACCGTGTCCGTCGCATCCATGTCAAGCGCTATAGCACTTACGATGACAGGCAGCTCAGCCACCAGTCTGCCCACCGTGACTGACAGGACTCATCTCTTGTGGAGCCCTGCCCCCTTGGCCAACCCACACTGCTGCCGCTGTCTGGGACTCTGCTCCAGCACCCGGAGGCATGACAGGCCCCGCCTGGGAGGTCAGAGGGCCTGAGCAGGGAAGCAACTACATGCTTCTGCCCTGAGTCCTGAGCACTTAATGACCACATCTTGACCCCTTTGCTCAACATCTCCCTGCCTGTCTGACAGGGAGCAGCTCCTGGTTCTGGGATAAATGGACTGAATCTCCTACCTCCCACTAAGAGCTTCTCCCTCGGCCCATTGCTGAACACCCCTCTACTGAAGGGCTACCCCATAGCACCCCTTCCCTCTGGCTGAGGCCCAAGGGAAATGGGTTCATCTTGTGGGAAAGGTGGTTCCTGGTGCTGTGGAAACCCAGTTTCTTACAGGAGCTCCTTTTTTTCCTAAAAGCACAGGCTTGATGAGCTTGTTTTTTAAAAAATAATCTAGGAAATGAGTAGTTTTAAATCTAATAGTAAGGGAACTGGGTCTTTCTCCTTCCCCTTCAGGTTGCCTTACCCTGGGTGAGGCAGGACTGTTGGCCTTTCTCCATACCTCTGGGATCTGTTTCTTTAAAGCACTTTCTACTTTCACTCGGGGTATTTGACCCACATCTATTTTTTTTTTTTTTTTTTTTTGGGACACTAATACCCCTCTTCCTGCAAAATCAATCTGAGGAAAGGAATAGAAGTAGCAAAAAAAAAAAAAACCACGCCAGACTGATATGCTTTCACTTTGTCAGGCTGGCCCAGTGCCATGAGGAGGGAAAGTGTGATTGGGACCTGAGAGCCTAAGAGCACCCCTCTGAGGAAAGACGTTTTACCCTCCATCTTGGAGTCAGACACCAAGGGCCTAATGTGATTGTATTTTTTGATCCTCTTGTCCTGAGCTCTAAGGCATGCTGTCCTCAGTATAAAGCCAAAGAGCCATTATAGGGGCTGGAAGCTGCTTGAGGTCAGGAACATGAGCTGCAGCAGGAAGGCTATGAGCCCTCACTTGCATGCCCATCAGCCACAGGCAGTGAATGCAGAGTCCTGCCTTCCCAGGAGCCTGTGCAGTGGCCCCTGCTTGGCCATACATCCGCCTCCTCCATTCATGATATTGGTCTTGTGTCCTGGCTGTACTTGGTACCTCTACCATGGTGAGTCTCACACAGGATGATGTGACCAGCCCAAGCCCTTTCAAGGCCTTCATTCCTTTCTTGTTGGGTAACTTGGCTATGGAAATGCTAAGCACCAGCTCTTGGGCCAGAGTGTGGGTTCCTCTCCAGGACTTTGGTTTTCATTTTCTTTTTTGTTTGGTTTGGCCCTTGAGAGGCTACATATCTGAATTCATAACCAGAGGAATGAATGCCCTCAGGGAGGGAGCTATTCAGGCAGCCTATCAAGGCAGCAGAGCCACTTAGCAGTACTTTAGGAGGGGACAACAGTTCTCAAGATCCTCTTTTACTACACAGCTAAGTGGCTGCTCATGGCTGACCCCAGAGTCTCTGTGGACAATGTCAGGCCCAAGGGTTAGTAGAAACCCACAAGGACCTGAAATGGCACAGATCAGGGGAAATGTGACTCCAATCAAACATTTTACACTTGTTGCAGTTTTGAATGTATATATTAGCCTTTCAGGTGAGGCACCCTGGTGATACTACAGTTCTTCCAGCCCTCACTAGAATAACAAGACGAAGACAAATCCACTGCTTTGACCAGATTTTGGCTTTGGTTTTGTGGCTTTCTCTACTAGAATGCTTCCTCCTGGAGCCAGTGGCCAGTTTCCTCAGCACCTTCCTGAAACCCAACACTCAAGGTCCTAGTGCCCCATGCAGGTACTTCAACACTTGTCTTCCCCCCCCCCCCCCCCCCCAGCCCCTGTAGCCACTACGGCTTTGACATTCGGTTATCTCAGTGGTGACTGGTTCTTCTTGAGAAAGCACAAATAGTGTGGGACTCAGCTTATAACTCCTCTGAGTGAAAGTATTTCCTTGGTCTTAAGAAAAATACTAACATTGAAGTGATCTGTGGACTAAGGGTTTGGGAAATTTTTCAATTTCCCAGTGTCATTCAGAAAGCACCACCAGGCTGTATAAATTTCTCAACTTTGAGCAGCCCAGGGGAAAGTGTGGATGAAGGTCAAACTTTGTCAGTTTCTGACAAAACTGGAAGCCTACTATTAACCACATGTACCATTATTGGCTCTTTGTTGCTCAACAAAGATGGAAACAAGCACTAATTTCTAATAAAATTCTGTTATACTACAGTGGTATATCTGCGCTTATAATCAGTGTTCCTTGGTGAGCTTACTGCTATGAGCTGAGTTCTAAATTTCTGTCCACGGCTTGACCTTGTCTTCTCCCTGGATATTAAGTCTGATTATACTCAGTTGCCCTGCAACCCAGGCTCCCCCTGGTGGAGGATTAAGGACAACACTAATAAGGGCTGGAACTGAGATTTAATATTAATTCAAGAATGAAACGATCTCTTTAACAATCACTATGGTGGTGGGGGAGCAGGAATCCTAAGAATCAGGGCAAAATATAGCACATCTCATCTCTGGCTCTTGGAAACCTTTGAGAAACTCAGAAAAGAGTTGCCTATTTTCATGCCTAAAGCACCTTGACTAAGTTTCTGCATTTGTAGTCTGGATGCTTGACAGATTTGTGCTCATAGGGGGCAAGCCCAAACCACACTGGCTTGCCTCACTACACTCCCAGGCTGGGAAGGCCAGAGATGCCAATGGTCAGCCAGCACTAAGAATCAGGCCACTCTTTACACCCTGATGCTTGACGTCTCTGTGCCTGGCAGAGGATGATGACAAGATTAGAGTCCAGTCCAGCCCCTACCCTACAGACTTAGAGTGACCCGTAGTGACACCCAAACAACTTCCAGTTTCAGGAGGGAACAGGTACATAACCCAGTAGAAGGGGCAGCTTCCTTGTAGGGCAGCAAGGAAAGCAATCAAGGGCCCCCACCAAGTCAAAAAGAGAGCCTGAGGCCCTGGGGGCAGAAATGGCAAGGGTGGCCAAGCGTGCACTGTTTATTGACCGAACCTCACATTCCAAACAGCTGTCTGACAGGCCAGGAAATTGCTTCAGGGGCCTGTGACAGCTGAACAGAGTTCCTCATGGAAAAGTTGACTGGAACACAGTGTCGGCAGGGCTTATGGGGGAGGCCAGCCTTGGAAGAGTCCTACGTGGGTCTTCTGGAGAAAAGAAGTTATGCCCCACCTCCCAAAAAAAGAACCCTACAATCAAATGGCGCAAACGATTAAGAGACCTATTGTGGCCTATGATGGAGAGAGAAAGTTCTGCAGCAATTGTGGGACGAGAGCTGTTCTTCAGGAGCCAAGCACTCAGGACCTTAGCTGGCCTACCAGTGAAGGCCTGAAGGTGGTGTCTTCTCATCTTTATTGCTTTCCAGGGAGAAGGGAGGGATCCGGACATCAAAATGGGAGCCGTCAGGCCTCTCAAAGCGGAACGTGCCCCTGTAGGTCAGAGAGAAGCTGGACTTAGAGGGAGTGAGGACTGAGTTCTGAGGACCTGGACAGCCCATGCCCTCTGTGGCAGAGCCACAGCAGGATGAGACAGGACTGGGACCTCCTGCCTGGCTCGTGGGAGGATACACTAATCCAGAGATCCAAGGGCCCCTCCTGGCTCTACATGAAAGGGAAACAACAGCTGTCCTGACTGGCCCATGGAGGCACACCACATAAACTACCCAATTACATTTTCAGGTTAAGAAGTGAAATGCCAGGGAAAATACCAAACTATATGGGCAGCTCTACAGCATGAAATCTAAATTCTCAGTCAACAAAATCATGGACTGGAAAACTGTAAAACAAATCAGTGCAGTCCCACCCAGCAATGCACAACATATAAGCCGCCATCTCAGGACTTATCTTGGCCCAGAGTTTAACAAGTATGAGTTAGTGATGAGCTCTCATTTTTCTGACCTGCAATTAGTGTGTGTGGAGTTGAGTCTCCCTTGCCCCAGCATGTGCTCACTTACCACATGTGCCCACTGGAAGCCTGAAGAGAGACGTGGCTGCTGTACTGGAATGCGGGCTGCTCCTTGGATAACACTGGCTCCTGTGAGATTCAGGCAAAAGATGTCAAGACACATTCTCTATCTGGGGCCAAAAGTTGCCTGCCAGTACCGCTTCCCACAGTGTGGCCACTGACCTGGCTCTTTTATTCTCACTCCAGGAAGATCACCTCAGACTGAATGTCTAGGCACCAGGCAAAGATGCCAGGCACAGAATCTCATCTGTAAATGCCCCTTGTGGCATCCATTTACTGAGTACCTAAGTATGAGGCACCATGGCAGTGCTCTGCAAACCTCTGCTAATCGATGCCTTCTGACAAGCATAAGGTAACAGGTACAATACCCATGTTAGCAAATTACTTAAATAACTTGCCTAAAGTTATGTAGTGAGCAGACAACACAGCCAACATTTGAAGTCAGACTAAGTGCAAAGCCTGCCCTCACTAACCCACCCTGCTTCACCAAGTCATCACTGACTTGGTTAAATGCTTTTGAATGTGGCCCTGGGCTACTTCACGACTATTTCTCAAGAGACAGGTGAGGTGGTACAGAAATGGCAAAATCACATCTATTCAAGGATTAACAGAGGATGTACATGTGTAAAGGGGCAGAGGAAAAGTAAACAACAGTGGTGGGTGGGACGCAGGCCACATCTAACAGATTCAAATGCAAACGTTTAATAAAAGACACTGCAGGCAAGAAAAACTCAACATAAGCTTTGATGTCAGACTCACTTGCATTTAAATGCAGGCCCTGCTACTCCTAGCTGTGGGCCCATGAGTTATTTAACTTCACAATCTTACTCTTCATCTGTGAAACAGGTTGTGAGAATCCATTTCACAGGGTTGTTGTAAACAGCTTAATGCATTCAGACACTGTGCCTCTGTTGCTAACCACTGAGGAGGAAATCACTGGCAACACCCCAGGTCTGGTGGGCAGCACTAGAAACTGGGCCTTACTGCCTGGTGATACTCACCCTGCCCACCACTCCTCTGCCTCTCACTGTCTCCAAGGTGCCAGATAGACTGAATATCCTCCAGTGTCGCTCCCGGAGCTGTACCACATCACTGTCGAGGTTCTCCAAGCGAATACAGTAGCGCCACTGTGGAATGGGGAGGAAGAGTTCATGTTTCACAAAGAATAGACCTTGGCCTAGAATTCTGGGGAGAGCAAAAGACAACAAAGGCTGACACCTTTGCTGCACAACCCCTACCCCCAAGGAGGTAAACAACTCCGCCTCCCAACCTGCCCTCCCAGGCATTTACATTCTTCCCTGAGGAAGACACTTACCCAGTAGACATGAGAATTTTGGGCTTCCTGGGGAAAAAAACACAATTTAAGTCCTAGTGTGCAGAAGCAAGTGTGTTCCAATCATCTCTCCAATGGAGTAGATGTATTCCAGAAGTTTGCTGAGACAGAATAAAGCCGCCAACGTCTGCAGAATGATGATGACTGGACAATGGCCAACACATCCACAGGGAGGCAGCCTTCCTGGGTCCATCCCTGGTCTCCCTCCGAATTGTCAAGGAATTGTCAAGATCGTCCACAAAGCTAGTCACCATGGCAATCAACCACAGGGCTCTTCCTTTTCTTACCCCCCTCCCTGCCAGCCCTATCACTATAGACCCAAACCACTGCCTTCCTCCTTGGCCCTCCCAATAAGACTGGAATAGCCCAACCTTTTTCTGATACTCGGTGAACAATATGCTATCCTCCCTCACTACCATGAGTTCCTGGAAGGAAGAAATAGTGTGTCTCATTTCTATTTGTAGTCCCAGGACCTAGCTTAGAGCCAAGCCAGAAACAGCTCAATAAATGTCTGAATAATATATAAAAGTGTTAAGATCAGCCTACCCTGATCTAGATAAGTATGTACAAATCCTTCACAACCATGACCAGAAGAGATGTCTGCCTGAAGGACTTCTTCCTGGGTTTTCCTGCTGTAGGTCTTAGTGTCAGCTACTGCCAGGAGGCGGCTAACCCCAACAAACACAAACAGGACTTGGAAGCAGAACCACATGCAAGTGTTTTAAATATCAAGCTTGGAGCCTCACTGGTGGTACAGGGTGAAAGTCTCAGAGCTATCAAACTATCACCAGCCTAAGTTCAATCCCCAGCCAGGGAGCTACCCATATGGCACAGTAGACCTCTCCTGTCTCACCCACTGCTCCCCTCAGCAGTGTATTTCAGTAGATCTGCCTGTTCTCCTCACTCTGTCTCTGGTGAATCCTTACCTCCACCACCGCCCCCCCACCACCACCCCGCACCTCTGACCTATACCCCAGTTCTTGTATGCATAAATAAAAGTAAATCTGAAAAAATAAATAAATAAAAATTAAATTTTAAGCCCACTCCAGCAGTCACACTGGGGCCCTCACACAGAATCTGGGGACCTAAGCCTGGCGGAAGGGGCCCAATATGGGCACGTACCCTCATGCCCATGTAGAAGGGGATAACGGTGACTCGAATGTTCTCAGTTGTTTCCCGATGGACATCCGAGAGCTCGAGCCAGGGATGATTCTTCTCTTGCCATGCCCGTAGTGTCTCCCGAGCCACAAAAGGGGGTGCTGGGCAAGAAAAAACTGGTTAGTCCAGACCAGAGTCCAGAGCCTTGCACCTACTCTTCAAATACCCCTCCTAGAAAACCCTACCAGGGGTGGCCCAGGTAAATAAGACACCCAAACATGAAGCAAAAGCACAGGTGGGGAGATGGTATGAGCTGTTATGCCTAAGAATAAGCCCTTAGGAGGTATATGGCATCCTGGGAAGAGAAATGGCTGGAAGTTAGGGGTTCTGGTTTTCAGACCTTGCTCTGCCACCGACTTGCAACCACGAGTCACTTCTCATCATCACTGAGCTTCAGCTTCCCTATATGGCAGGCAGAGAACTTAGCCCTCTATCTACGTGCGACGTCTAATGAAAGGTTAAACAGTTGTGGACACAGCTCTGAGATTATTTCTATGCTGTTCTCTTAAGGCAAGGGCCCTCCCATTCCAATTTCCCTTCTGGAGAGATTACCTTTTGTCTGGTCATATAGAAGAAATCTTTCAAAGAGTTCATGCTGGATGGGAACCTGATCGGTGGAAGTATAGGGGAGGATGTCTTCATGGCTTACGTAGTCTAGTCCTGGCACAGAGTGATAAAGAGATAGTGAAACTCACCTAAGAGGGAAGAGAATCAGGGCTGCGAAAAAAAAGATAATTCCTGGCTTGTCATGGGGTGGGACACCCCTGGCACCCTTGCTCTCAGCATCTATCATCCCTCCCAACAGATAAAAGGACATCAGAATCCTCTCCCTAAAATACACCAGACCCCTCCTTGACAGGTACCATTCAGATGCTCACTACTCACCTGGGATGGCATAGAGGGCCCGGCTGTCATCATGGTTAGCTAAGAAAGTCACAGCTTCTGTCTGAGATCTCTGAGACTAAGGCAAGAAGCAAGTCAGAGACTTTCTTGTTCATTATTCAGTACTAAGGATTTAGGGCCCAGTGTTAGGGCTCTATTTGGCCCCTCCCCTTCCCTTTATTCCCATCAGGGTATAGGCCTTTCCCATGGAGAGGAACCCCAGGCCCAGCCATCTTGCTTACTTACTATATGTGGACAGTCTCGGGCATCAATCAGCACCTGATAGTAAGTGTGAGTTTTGCCTTTCACCTCCTTGGAGCCATGGCCTGCTGGATTCTCTGCTCTATGGGGTAAAGGAAGCCCAAGATTACCCTGAGAGAAACAGAGGCAGTGTCTGCCCCAGCTCCCTACTGTCTCCTTACTTAAACATGTTGGTGCCTAATCTGAACTGGCATTAGCACTGGCCAGGTACCTATTTGGTGATATCCCTGCCCAGCCATTCCCCAGTCTGGAGTAAACAATGGAGTATGGAGGCCCATAGCACAGAGTCGTCGTTTGCCTTTACTCTCTGATGTCTCTTGGAAGGGGGTTATGTTGAAAATAATTGATACCTCAAGTCCCTGGAGCCCAGAATGCCCCCACTCTTCTCACACTTCAGAGGCTGGGATCATTTAACAGAGATAGATCTTTTTTTCCCCTAAATGTACTCAAGTGATGACAAGAGCTCAAGGGAAAGATTCTAACTGAACATTAAGAAATCAAGATAACTAGTCCTCTAAATGCCCTCCCAGTACCTGTAATGAAAACTGAGAATAACTTGGAAGCATCCTGGGGAGGCTTAAAGGAATGCTCTGGCTTAAGACTGTTACTGGCATTCAGTATTTTTGTCTCCATGGCTATCAGTGCAAGGGAGGTACTCAGGGGCTGTTTCCAAGGCCCAAAGGATACAGTCTTCACCCCTGGGGCCCTTATTATGTACGTCTGCCATGAGTCAGGCCTCCTCCTGAAGATACCATGAGATGGAATAACAGGGAAACTTACTTTTCAGGAGCTGCAGAAGCCACATCCCGGTCATACAGTCTGGCCTGCCAGGGAAATAGGACGACACCTCGGTAGCCAAAAACACTATGGAGAAAAAGCTGGGAGGAAAGAGGCCTCAATGAGAACACAGTCCAGCGAGTCCAGGCAAGTGGGCTTGGGCCACTAGTAGCACAGGTGGTGGCAACTCCAACACAAGGTCCTATCACTCTGTCCCTTGGGCTCTACCATCCACCCAGACCAACTCGGGAATACACCTGGTTCTTCACCTGGTTAACCTCTACTCATTTTTTAGGCCATAGCATAGGCCTCTAGGAAGCCTTCCCTGAGCTCCCTTCCACTTGGTATAGTGCACATCAAATCATTTACACATCACTAACTGCTTTCTAGACCATGAACCCCAGGAAGGCATTGCTTTCCCATTATCCCAATGCACAATGCCCAGGCCTTTGTAGATACACACAAATGAAAAGAAAAACGGTGAACAAAAAGTCCTAACCTGGGCCTCCCTGGTGGCGCAAGGGGTTAGGACACAACCTATGAAGTTATCCACAGCCACTGCAGCATGAGTTCGATCCCCGGCCAGGGAGCTAACCACATGGCACAGTAGACCTCTCCTCACTCGCTTGCTGCTCCCCTCAGCAGTGTATTTCAGTCTGCCTGTTCGTTCCCCACTCTTGTCTCTCGTGAATCCTCTCACCCCCCACACCACTGGCCTACATCCCAGTTCTTGTATGCATAAATAAATAAAGTCCTAATCTACAAGGGGCCTAAAGCCATCTCAGTGGATCTGGCACAAAGTTGATACAGAAAAAGAGCTGCGGGCCTCCCTGGTGGTACAAGGGGTTAAGACACAACCTATGAAGCTGTCCACAGCCATTGCAGCACGAGTTCAATCCCCAGCCAGGCCAGGAGGTGACCCACAAGGCACAGCAGACCTCTCCTGTCTCATCCGCTGCTCCCCTCAGCAGTGTATTTCAGATCCACCTGTTCTGTTCCCCATTCTGTCTCTGGTGAGTCCTCACACCTACTGCATCTCTGGCCTGTACTCCAGCTCTTGTATGCATAAATAAATCTTTAAAAAAAAAAAAAAAAGTAAAAGAGCCTCAAACAGTTCAACTGTAACAAAGCATCAAAGGTGTGATTTTCTGAAAGTTCCCTCCACTGACTTCCCACCATCCACCATACTAGCAGATTCTTCAGCAACTTGGCTCTCTCTACACTACAGTCCAAATCATGTCTATCCATACTAACTTGGAAAGAAAACCTACTAATAAGTGAAAAGCACTCAAAGTCAGGAAAAAAGAAACCCAATAATAATAAAAAAAAAAAAATGATCTGGTCTGGTCTACCCAATCAGGGTGCTAAAATTCACTTTACAAGGATCACCACCAAGGCCTCCGCATCCTGCTCCCTTTGTGCTCCTAGAAGTGGCGCCCTATACTGGGAAGTGGTGCAGAAGAAAAAGTCAAGACAGAAAACCCTAACATTCAGGCCTATGACTAAATCTGACACTTTCGGAAGCAGAAACACCATGAAAATGAGATGACCCAGCCTGGCACTTACCTGCCCCGTCTCATATTTTCCATTCTGTTTTGGCACCTCAAAAACACCGACTGTCTCCAAAACTTTGCCCTCTGGTCGGTTTCTGGTTAGGAAGGAAAAAAGCAGTTGAAAACCTGAGGTCATGGTACTTACCCATCAGAAGCTGCTAGGATAATGAAAGGCCAGGCAGGGCCAGCAGGGCAGTGGGGAGGGCTGAAGCAGGTAAGGGTCCCGTCAAGCCACACTGCAGAGATTCTGCCTTTTTTCCTCCGTTGTAGTCCAGTCACAGGCTCTGCCTGTGTTAGTCTAACTGCTCCAGATCACTTTCTTCTCTCTTATTCAGCATTCCTCATATCATTCCTTTAAACCTGGCTTAATTATATCCTCTTACCTCCATGGCTTCCCTGACCCACCTGCCTGACCTTCCTCAGCATTTTAACTGTCCTTTCCATCTGGCATTTCAGTTAAAAATTGAGTCCATGTCTTATCTCCATTAGAGATGTGAGGCTCCCTGGGAGCAATGCCTGTGTCTGATTAGTCTGTGATCCCAGCAGGATCTAGTGCATAAGTGATACTGAGAAAAAAAAAAAAAAAAAAATACTTTGTGTTACAATTCCATGTCCTTCTCTCCCTCTAAATTATAATTCTCACCCTACCCTTAAAGGGCTTAATCAATTCTAGATTTCTTACTGTACTCCCTGCAGGGCACCTACTAGTCTCTCCATCTAATTTTTGTTCAGATTTGCATCAATTTTCACAGGAGTCTTAAATTGCAAAAAGCTATCATCTAGCCCCAATATCACTCTCTTATCACAGTCCCTAAAAGATGGGTTCTCTCAGTGACTTCTCCGCACAGAGCTGCCCTTTCCAGGGAACCTTCAAAGCACTGTTGTACTATCTTGGAGATGTGTACTTTATGCTTCCTCCCCCTTGATCCACCACCTTCAATATGATCTGCCAGTCCCAGCCCTAGAGACACTGCTCGCACCATCCCCATGGCCTCAAGACCCCTTCCCCAAGGCAGAGATAACCAGTCTCCCCAAGGTCACAGTGAAAGCCAGGACCCACGCAAGGCCCAGACTCAAGAGTGCTGTTTCCCTTCTCTAGCATCTTTTCGAGGAAGTCTTTGAACCATTTCCGGAGAGAGGGGGTTCGAGTCAAAAGACCCAGGGCTGAATTAAAAGGGCACTAATAGTGGCGCACGGACACCCCCTACTCAAGAAGGCAGGATTCGCTCTGGGAGGGTTACTCAGCGGCCCCTCCGAGCCAGCCCTGCACAACCCAGGGCTCGGGGCTGCGCTCTGTCTTTGCTCCTGGCACACGCCCCAAGCAGCACAGGTCGCTTCCCTGCGCGGGACCTTTCCAGAGTCGAACTCCCATCGCCCTGGGCCGGCCCGGCCTCCAGGCTTTCTCAGCGGCCGAGAACACGCTCCCCGGCCTCCGGGCCCGGCCCCCGCGCTCCGTCCCTCACCGGGACGAGAGGTGCCTCCGCGTCGTCGTGGTCGCAGTTGGCAAGAAGGCCCCCACTCCACGTGCCGCACAGAGCGGCCTCGGCCCCCGGGTCCCGGTCAGCGACCGGGACCACCAGCGGCTGCCCACGGTCAGGGCCCGCCGGGCCACACAGCCCGCCATGTCCGGCCCGAGCGCCCCGCTCGGCTGCTGACACAGGTCCCGACCCGCGGCCGGGCGGCGTTCCGCCCCCGCCCCACACTGCCCCGCGCCGCGGCCCCGCCCCTGGGCCCTCCTCCCGGCCCCGCCCCGCCGCGTGAGTTCGGGGCTACTTCCGGCGTGCGGCGGGCGGAAGTGCCCTGCGGGGTCACCTGACCGTAGGTTGGCTGAGATATGGCGTCTCACCTGCTTGCTGGAGAACGGCTGGTGCGCGCTTTGCTCCCCGGTGGGGAACTGGAGCCGGAGCAGCTGCCCCCGAGGCTGCGGGCAGAGCTTGAGGCCGCGCTGGGGGAGAAGCCCGAGGGCGGTGATAGCGCCAGTGGCCCCGCACACCTGGTTTCCTTCCGCCTGATCCGGGAACTGCACCAGTACCTGAGAGAAAGGGGTGAGCTCCGGTCTCCACTTCGGAGTCGCCTGCGTTTTACCAACTTTAGCATCTTTCTGAGGGAAATATCCAGCGTTCTCCCTCGCCCGCTGACGGTCACCTAGACAGTCCAATCATCTCATAAACTATAGGGCAACCTTTGTCCTTCACGACTTCCATGGGAATTCCTCGTGAATAACAAATTCACCTGTGCAGTCTCTGCTCTCTTTAGTTGCCACTTCTAGGCCTCTGTCTCTCAGCAGACCCCTGGGGAACTCCAAGTTCTAATCCAGTATTATCTCACAGGCTCAGTTTCTTTTAAGCCACATTAGATGAATTTAGCATAATGAACTTGTCCTATTTGGGAATCTGGATTTCTTTCCATCCAAAAAAGCAAGAATGGTCAAATCTGTATGGATGACAGAAAAACTGTTGAAAGATCTGAACTGGGAATAGCATCTGAGCTTGTATTTCCTAGTTGTGGTACAAATGCCCTTTGTAGGAGTCATTTCTCCTCCTTCAGCCTCAGTTCTCTTCGTTATAAAAGGGATAGAATAAACTGGCGTTTAAGATCTTGTTCCAAAATTAATGTAGTCTAGCCAGAAATGCAAAGAGCAGACAGTTGAACGGTTGGAATTTAAAAATGCCTTAGAAAGAGATGGTCTAGTCAGTGTACTCTGAATACTCAGCATCTATATAATTGAATCCTGTTTAGGACAATTCTGTTTTGGCCATAGAGGAGACAAGTTAATGGCAAATGTAAATGACTTATGTGCTAGATGTGACATGGGCAGGATAATTAAAAGTTGACAGTTGAAGTCAGCTGTACAGCTTTAGGAGATACTCATGTGAAATTTTCCTAGAGTCTTCCCAATTAAAGGTGTTCCTGGAGATTGATACAGGAATGGCCATATTTTATTTTGATTGGAAGAATAGAAGGGCTGGCCCGTTTTCTTACCTTAATCCTTCAACCTGAACTCTCTGTATCATTATGTTTGTGGAAACCTTTTCTTCCAGATTCCACCTTGTACCTTCATGAGCTCCTAGAAGGCAGTGAAATCTATCTCCCAGAGGTTGTAAAGCCACCTCGGGTATGTAAGGGAGATATTTGTGAGAGTGGGTGTTGGCTGAGTTTATCTGGATAATAATCTGACTGTATTTGTGGTACCTTGAAATTTATGAATCAACCTTTGGGCTCAGATTTGTCTTTTAAAACCCTTCAGAGCTGGGATGTGGGACTCAGATATTGTCCTCCTATGGAAAACTGACACAACTCCCTTCAAAAAAAAAAAAAAATCCCCTTAGCAGTGGAGGCAAAACTGATTCATGGATTTCCCAGCACTCTAGCAGTGTCTTGTCCCCAAAACCAATGATTGCAACATACTTCCTAATATCGTTCTTCTCATTTCTGCCTCAGAATCCAGAGCTAGTTGCCCGGCTAGAGAAGATTAAGATACAGCTAGCCAATGAGGAATATAAACGGATCACCCGCAATGTCACTTGTCAGGTAAGGGCCTGCTCTTCAGTATGTGAACTGAGGATCTACACTGGGAAGAAGTACAGGGAAAAGAAATAACATGGAAACTTGGCTTGTATACAGTTCAGGAACCATGGAAGCCCTCTGCTTCCTACAAACCAAATAGAATTCCCAGCTGATTCACTGAAACTCTGGGCTGGGATGGCAACTTATTTGTAAAAGTTAAAGAGATGGGAGTGTTCTTTGAAGTCTTTCTTTTGACAGGTCCCTAATAATCTGTAACATGTTCCTGCCCTGAAACAGAAAAGGGATAGCTAGGTACTGGGAGCCTATGTTCTTTTACTGAAATTCTTAATGTGTGGCCCAGAAAAGAACTCATCTGGTCCCCAGACAAAAGAATTCATGGAGAAGGCAGAGTTAATATGTTGGGGAATAAAAAGGACTGAGCCCAGACTGACAAAAGAATACTCTTTTGACTGCCTCTGAGCTGCTTCCACTCTGAAAGCAAATGTTTTTCCTTTTTTTCCAGGACTCAAAGCATGGTGGGACTCTCAGTGACCTGGGAAAGCAAGGTGAGGTACTAGAAATCAGGCTGCTAGTGCCTCTCCCTGGGATGGGTCAGTTTACTTCTCCTTCCCACTTTAGTATTCTGGGTTTAAGCCTGGGCTATTCAAGCTTGGTGTTTGAGGGAACCCAGTTGATGAGAGCAGTCTGGGGATAAAAGAGATGAGCCAAGAGGGCCTCTGGAGGATGCTGACCTAAAGGTTTCTTCCCTGGGCTCCTCCCCAAAGTGAGGTCAGTGAAGGCTCTGGTCATCACCATCTTCAACTTCATTGTTACCGTGGCAGCAGCCTTCGTCTGTACTTACCTTGGAAGCCAGTATGTCTTCACAGAAATGGCCTCGGTGAGTAGGCAGGGTGCCCTAGGTGGGGGGTATTAGCGTGAGAATGAATATGTTAAGTGTTTTCCAAAAAATAAGAGGAGCATTTGAACTTTCCGACACAGAAGAATCCAGATCCTCTTCCCTTTCCTTCCTTCCCACCCCTGTGACCTGGATTGGGGGCTTCTCCATCGAAATTAGAGGTGCTGGAGTCTAAAGACGGATACTGGCCTGCATCCTCTAAGTACGGTTCTCCCCCTCTGCAGCGGATACTGGTTGCACTGATCGTCGCCTCTGTGGTGGGTCTGGCCGAGCTGTATGTCATGGTGCAGGCAATGGAAGGCGAGTTGGGAGAGCTTTAACTGGTACTTCATCATCAAAGTCTGGAGAAGATTTTGGGGAGCTCCTGGCTCCTAGCTGCAAATCACTGACTCTGAGTGAACCTATCAGTCTCTTTGTACTTAGCTCTGGTTAGCCAGCCACCTGCAATTCTTGCAGGAAGGCCCATCCTCTGAATTTTGGGGAGCAAGAGGAAACGCAGACAACATGGGAAATAACTGGTCTTGTCAGTACCTTCTGAACCTAGTGCCCATCTGCCTTCTCCAGTTCATTCCAAGCACTGCTGGGCTGGGTTTTTTTCCACTGGGTGTAAATAGTACCCAGACCTTCCCAGAAGTAGACCAGACTGCCTTGAACTTGGCCAGGTGCACAAATGAATTGTCATTTTCGTTCCACACATCCTTGACGCAGACCTGTAATTAAGGTCAGAAGCCTCCAAGAAAGCAGAAGGAAATCTTTGTCCAGTTTGTGTTGGAAAGGACACCCAGTTGGAGGATGCCAAATAAGAGACACGACGGTAGAATTAGAAGTAAGGCAGCTACCTTTTTAAAATTTCTGTATTCCTTCCTTTCAGTTGTTGTTTCCTGGTTTTCTTTGTGCTTCTGCCTGTCTCTGCCATGTGCTGACTCTCCTTACTTTACATCTTCTCATCACCCTTTGTTCTGCTTCCAAAAGTAAAAACAATTTAGGTGGCAAAACAGTTATGTCTACTTTTCATTGAAAATCCCTTGTTTGTGGGGAGAGTAAGCCTCCTGTGGATTGACTCAATAAAGGGAGACGTTCTTTGTAGTCAGGGAGTATTTTCAGATTTAACAACATATAGAACTGTATATAAACATGTGAATAAACATGCACATGTATATGCATAGCATATACATTATGATTATGGGCACATACTGGTAAACAAACCTAATGCAGGATATTTTATGTGGGTTCTTAAACATGCTTTTGAGAGTATGAAAAACAGTATGTAAATATTCATGAAGAACTAATTGTTTTACATATTTGCTTTTGGTCTTCACAATAGTCCTGTAGCTTGGAAAAGAAAATGGTTTTAGGCCCCTTTTCTAAAAGCCAAATAGGCTGAAAGAGATCAAATGACCAACTGTGGCCATTCCTCTGTTAAATGGAGCCAAAGACTCCTAGGTAGTCCCAAAGTCTCTATGTATAGTTAAACTTCTAAGAACTTTGATTAATGTTGCGATAATAAAGTCTGTATGAGGCACTAAGAAATTATTATCAACATTAGTTATTTATTCAATAAATATTTATTGTATCCAATGTATACTTATTTCATCTTGTGACAAACACCCGAAGATTTTCATATTTCTTTTTTTTTTATAATACACCATGGTTATTTATTATTTTGATTTTCATATTTCTGAGAACTGTTCAGAATCTGCTCCTAATGAAACTTTGTTTTTTCTGTTTGTTCCCTGTGTGAGTTTCCTGTGGTACTTTTCCCTTCTTAGAAATTATATATTCATTGGCTCAAAAGACATTTCCTCTACAATGTTTGCCAGTTTCTTCTTGATATATAGCAAGTCTGAGCCTCTCAGGGCAATATTCCACATGAGAGAGTGGGAAGATTTAGGTTCTTCTGTTCTACCATGTATCACTTGGCTGAGAAATCATACCATTTTTATTGTTAGTTGGCCAGAAATTTAACTGTGGGGGAAAAAATGCCGGTGGCCTTATACAGTGTTTCTAGCAACCCAGACTATTGAAGTTTGATTGAAAAGCTACACTTAAGCTTAGTTATGATTCCTGGCAGTACTTACTTGTGCCTAAACTCTGTTGTGGACCAGGGTACCCACATATCCTTGAGCTTTCACATCCCCCATGTATCGCAGGCTTCTGCGACACTGAGCATTTGCTGAGAGCTGATGTTTGAGTCAAACACTGTGCTAACTTCTGGGGACAGAGAGATGGAATATCCAGTTCCTGCCAAGGAAAAAGTGTTTGCCCCCAGTTGTCTAAAATTAGGAACAGGTCTAGCTGCTCCTAGCTGACTTAGCAGTTAGGTAATGTTTACAGGACCTTCGGATGAGGCAGCTGTTAATTCCCCTGTAGAGGAGAAGAATTAGTGACCAGGTATAGCAGGAAAGTTGGAAAACATAGTGCCCTACCTCATCTGAAGGTACCTCCTGCGGAAACAATGGGTGGGAGTAGTCAAGGTTGGTGACAGTAGCTAACACGTAGATGAGGTCAGACAGGCTGCCCAGTGAAGTCTGGGGAGTAGCTTGCTCTGGAGAAAGCCCTGAAGACCCAGCTAGTCCCTGGGGGGCTGCCGCTTTGGCCCCTTCCCATCCCTGACCTGGGCCCAAGCTTAGAGCTGGACAGGAGGTTTGGACACAGGTGTACTGGGCAGGGCTGTGGGAGGGTGGGGACTGGCCCACTGTCCAGGGCTCCCAGGAGTGCTGGAGTGTATCTGGAAGAGGTCAGGATCTCTGGGGAGGCTCAGGCCTGGGGCTTAGACCTCCAGGCTTCCTACACTTGATTCTCTTGACCCAACAATTCTGGAACCACACCTGGTAAGGAAAGAAGTCTGGTTCCAGCATCCTCTCTGCGAGGCACAAGGGAACAGAATCTGGAGGCAGGATTCCTAAGAGTAGAAACTGTGGGTTGAGCAAAAAGTTAGCTGTGTAAGAAAACCCCCACCCTGCAGAGGGGGGCCATCAAAGGTCACCTGTGTCTTGGCCTGGGGAAGGCAGGTCACCTGGGCCAGGTGCTCACAGGTGCCAGTGTCTGGGTAGGACCATGCTGCAAACACCCCCTCCAATTCCAGCAGCTTCCTGCTACTGAAGGGGACCTGCTTTCTCCAGTGGGGACTTAACCCACTGGTGTGGCCTTCAGGTTAGGGTGGGAAATATGCCAGGACCCCTGGAAGAGCTCCACCCCAATCTCAAAGCCCTCTATTCCCCAACCCTCTTCAACCTCTCTTATTCACACCTTCCCCCCATCCTCCCCTTGGCCACCTTTGCCCCATCACATCACCTGTTGGAGATGCATGCACAGGGCTGGCCATGGGACTGACAGAGGGTGAGGAGCCAGAAGGCCATGCCAAGGCTGTGTCCACACTAGACCCACCCCATGTGAGGTTTTTTTTTGCTCTGGGTGGCAGGCCCGCCTCCAAGAAGGGCAAGGTGTAGAGTCCAGCTAAGGTGGGCAGAGAAGTCCCAGAGGACGTGAGGGGGCAGGGGCGGGGCAGTGTTGAGGTGGAGGGGGTAAGAGTGGGACAAAAGTTTTGTGGTCCCTTGTCAGGACATCACAAAGGAAGTTGGCCTCACACCCCTTCCTCCGACCACCAACTGGCACACTTACTTCATGAAAATATTCCCAGGGCTCCTTCCTGGAAGCAAGAGGTTTTCTCTCTAGTGTTCCCAGTGCTTCAGCTGCCCTTTCAGGCGCCCTCAGCCCCCTGTAGAGCGTGGGTGGAGCCCTACTACGCTAGTGAGGTCTGGGCTCACAGGACAGGAAGAGAATGGGCAGCAGAGGAGGTGGAGCCACCCGCTCACAACAGGGCTGGGGAGCAGATGTCACGACCAGATCACTCAGGTGTGCTTTGGAGCTTTTCCTGTCTAACCCTTTCTTGGTTCCCAAGAGCCCAGATGGGCATCCCAAAGCCAGAGGAGGTCCACAGATATTGAGGGGTCCTAAGAAAGATGTTTTTGTTTCTACAGCAATCTTATCCATGGAAGTTTTGGGTCACCCTTTTTTTTTTAAAGATTTGTTTACTTATGCATACAAGAGCTGGGGTGTAGGCCAGAGATGCAGGAGAGTGAGAAGATTCACCATAGACAGAGTGGGGAGCAGAACAGGAGGACTGACTGAAATACACTGCTGAGGGGAGCAGCAGGCGAGTCAGGAGAGGTCTGCTGCACTATGTGGATTAATTCCCTGGTCAGGGATCGAACTCATGCTTCAATGGCTGCAGATTGCTTCATAGTGCTGAGACTTAACCCTGTGTACCACCAGGGAGGCTCCCCATGGGTCACTTTTCTAAGAGTAGTGAGTACATTTGAATTTTCTGCCTACCCTTCCCCATCTCTTCTAACTCAGCCCCCCACCCCCACCCCAGACCCAAGACAGACTTCAAAGAATGACCCATCCTAGGTGTGGGTTTGGGAGCACAGTGACCAGTTCTCCAGAGAGACACTCAGGTGTCTGAGCTAACTATTTCAGGCTCAGGATGGGCAGAAAAGCTGAGCCTGAACCCCACCATCTCCTGCCCCTTCTTCTCTTCCAAGACTGTAGTCAACTCCAAGAGGCAAGGCAAGCTGGTGGGGTGGGGGAGGCTTGGTAACTCCTGTCATCAGGAGGATTCAAATTCTGATTAGCTGCTGGTGGGTTGTTGGGGCTGCTAAGCACAGGTGTGAGGCTCACACTCATAAGGCCTTTGCCAAACCACAGAGCCTTCTGGTTCACAGGGAGGGCCTGAGCCCAACATGGGCTGGACACAGGAAGCTTCTTTTCTGTCCTCTCCCAAGCCATCCTGACAGCCCAGCTTCCCCTCCTTTACCCAGGCAGATCCCTGCCTCTTGCCTGTCTACCAGTGAGAAAAATAGCCTTAAACTCAGGGCCAAGGAATCTTTATTGGGCTCAGAGGAGGAGGTTAGAGGAAGGAGCAGCAGAGGATCCAATTGTATAGGCTTGGACTACTTCTGGTCAGGGGCTGGGCAGCCCAGCCAGTACTCGGCGATGGAGCGTGGGTAAGGAGGGTTCACGGTGTCCACGCGCCGTGTGCGAAGGTTGACTCGGTAGTACTTGTCTGGAAGAGAGGTCGGGGGAGACTGTGTGAGAGGCAGCCTGGCCCTGCCACTCCTTCCCAGAGAAAGACACCTGGGCATCTCCTGGAAAGGGAAGTGAGTGTGCGCGACGCAGCTGAGGACTCCTGGCCTGACCTGGAGTCACTGCCCAAGGACTTTGTTCAGCCCATGAGGACCAGGCACAGAGGGGAGACCCTGCCAAGACCAGCCACAGAGAGGGCAGAGGCTCCCACCTCCTGAGAAGAAGTAGACGCTCTGGATGGGCTCACAGGTGGCAGGCACAAGCCAGTTGATGTCGTAGTCATAGTTGAAGATTCCGAAGTCACTCTCCTCACTGGAGAACCAAGACAGCCAGGCTGACCGGGATGGCCGGTGGCGGTTCTGGCTGTGGCCACGGCCTCGCCCTCGACGTGAGCGGTAGCGTTTACGGTTTCGATGCTTAGACTTGGCCTTCTTGGCCCGGGAGGAATGGGGAGCTGAACCGGAGATGTAGATACGACCAGCCATGACGGCGTCCACTTGCCCAGGCACCCCGTGCCAGTCCTGGCTAATGAACTGGGGCTCTCCAGCACCACCTGTGGCAAGTAAAAGGTTAATGGCAGGCCTTGAGGGCCTGGACCCTGCCCCCAGCAGGGCTTTTAGGGTTCACTTTGTGCTCATTGGTGGGCTGAGCCTTGTCCAAGGTCACACAGCAAGCTCGTGGCAGAGCCCAGCACCCTGGCCTTCTAACTCTGTTCCATTCTCTCCCCTGGCCTTCCTCCACCATCTCACCCTAGCCCCTCCTGCGCTGGTTGCACTAGGCAAAGTCCAAGGTATGGGGTCCAGGCAGAGTCGGCTCCCCACAAGGTCAACAGAAGCAAAGTCTGACCTGAGCAAACAGCTTCTGCTCGGTAGTTCCACAACCACAACCCCTTCCACTCAGTCCAGCCTTACCCCTGACCCACAGCCAGGCCTCTTGGGGGGGCTCCCTCCATACCAGAGGATCTGCCCCAGAAGAGAATCTCGAAGATGCTCTCCCAGCTGTCCCGCTGCATCTGGGCGAAGTGAGCAAACACGGCCGACAAGGAGCTGCTGTCACACTCCTCCTGGCTCGGCTGTTCCTGGAACTTGTACTCCCAGTACTGTTTCCCTGGGGAGCAGGGCGGGTGGCATCAGGGGGGGTGCGCATGAGCAGGACTGGGAAGCACAGAAGCTGTTGAAGTTAGGAGCTCCTTGTACGGGAGGAGCAGTGAACAGAACCTGAAACCTGTCCCGGGTGAAGTGCAGAAGACAACTGAGCCAGCTCCACCATCTGCTTATCCCCACCCCCCCCCCCACACCCCAGTACCCTTGAAGAAGTAGACCCGCTCCTGGCCGCTGTAGCTGTGAGCTGGGAGGGCCAAGGCTGCATCCACGTTGTCTGGAATGCCACTGAAGCCATCAGAGATGTTGCGGGGGTAATCGGGGTCCAGGACACCATCCTCAAAGCGCCAGTACTGACTGCCCTAAGGGGGATGGGAGAAGAAGAGCGAGGAGGCGGCTGGCCAGGCGCAGAGGTGGAGTTCCTTTCCCATGCCGGCTGACCCAGCTCCAGGCTTGTCACTCAGGACCTGGAGCCTGGAGCTTCCCTATTTTCAAAGAGCTCCAGGCAGGGAGCACAGGCCCAGACCCAGGTTTCTTGCCCACTCTGCTCCTGGGCACAACTCCCTCAACCGTGACCCACAACCCCTGGGCCCGGCACCTTGAAGAGGTAGGTCTTCCCCTGGCAGTTGACGCGGGTGAAGGCAGCATCAATGGGGCCCTCAATACCCCAGACGTCTTTGATAAGCTTGGGGTAGCCAGGCCTCACTGCCTTTTCATCCAGCTCATAGCAGTACTGCCCTAAAGTGGGAGAGGCTATGTGAGGAGGTGATGTTCCTGGGGCAGACCCACACCTAAAGATCTGTCCCTGGAGTCACCTCGGAAGGCAAACAGGGAACCATTCTTAAGATCAGTGAAAGCATCAAAGGGCTTCCCACTACACAGCTCCTCCTCTGCTGGGAAATCGAAGATGCTTTGTTTAGTGGTCTCGGGCCCTGGGACCCCCAGCTCAGGTACCAGGGTCCTTGACTCAGGCACTAGGAACCCCTGCCCAGGTCCTGGGACCTGTTGCTCAGGGTTGCTGGTGTTGTCTCTGGCGTCGGGATAGTCGTAGGCCCCGTATTCATCTTCTGGCAGAGTGAATACATCCCCACGAGTTACTGCAAGGCAGAGTGGGTGGTGGTGAGTCTCCGGCTGCAAAGGTAACCCCAAGCCCACCCAGCCGCTCTGAACGCACCTTGGGTCTTGCACTCCGCAATGTAGTCAGCGCAGCAGCTCTGGTAGTAAGAGCAGAGCTCGTCACACTGACACTTCCTGTCCGCATTGAAGCCCTCGGTACAGCGGCCCTTGCAAGACTCTGCAGGGAGTGGGTATCAGTCGGCACACCAAGCCCAGGCCACCCACACCCATCCTACATTGGCCTGAACGGCCACCAACACCCTCCCGCACCTTGGTCAGCCAGAACAGCCCACGCCAGTAAGGCCAGCATCAGAAGAGGCCTTGAGGGTGTCATGGCGTGGTCTCCGGCTGAGAGCCCAGCAAATTGGGCCCTTCTGTCTCTGTTCAGGTACCTAAGGAAGGGAAAGAGAGGCCGAGAGGGAGGGAGCCAGAGAAGTGGAGCTGCCTTTTCTACAGCTCTGTTTACTCAACCTCTGTCCCAGTCCCCAGGACCCCGACCCCAGAGGCTGCTGCCCAGAGGCTGCTGCCACAAAGGGTCACATTCCTGGAACTCAGGGCCTGGGAGAGCTGCAAATAGGATCCTTGCCAAGCTCAGGGGCATCTCGGGAAGGCAATAGCACTGTGGGTCTGGAGGACAGAAAGAAGGGCAACTCTGCCGCTCAAAGGGAAAACTGCTTTACCCACCTTAGTTTTCTTTTTAGTACAATGAAACTAGTAATACCTGTCTAATGGGGTGCTGAGAGATTAGAAGAGCTCAAGCAGACAAATGCTTGGTGTCTGGAGTATCCCCAACTTCGTTCTCTGTAAATTATTATTGATCCATGATCTGTTTGATCTGGCACATTCCTGAGGTAGTGGCTCACCACCCATCCAGTGTGTATTTAGTGCAGTAGAAGGGAGGGAGAGAGAGAGGGGGAGAGCTGGTAAGTACTGCGGGGGAGTTTTATTGGTTTTTTTTTAATTACTGAAGAATAAAGGTTTTTATTTCTGGGTTCTTTTCTGGGTATATTGATTTTCCTAAGCTGGTTTTCACAGGACAGGAAATGGTGAATATTAACTCTTTAAACTGACTTTGATTGCTGAGTCTCTGCTCCTGGACAGGTCATTCCCTGTCTCCATGCTCAGTCTCCCTATCAATAAAGTGTGGGCTAGTTCCACATACTTTTAGATTCTGGGTGAAAACTAAGAGAAATAGGATCATTCTGCCCAGAAAATGTCTGATTTTCATGCTCACTCTCAAGGGTCCACAGACCTCTTGAAGGCCTCCCATCACCTGGAGGAAGTGATCCTCAGAGTTTCCAGCTGACTTTTTCTCTTCTATAGAGGGGAGTGTTAGTGACTTTGGGAAATCTCTTCTCTGTAGGCCTCAGTGGATTCAGCTGATAAAGGGGAATGCTAGTCACTACTTTACTTCTAGGCATGCTGTAAGACAATTGAGAAAGGCATAAAAGGGCCCTTAAGAATTGTACAAAACCGGGCCTCCCTGGTGGCAAAAGGGTTAAGACAACCTATGAGGCTATCTGCAGCAAGAGTTTGGTCCCCGGCCAGGGAGCTACCCACATGGCACAGCAGACCTCTCTTGACTCGCCCGCTGCTCCCCTCAGCAGTGTATTTCGTCAGTCTGCCTGTTCTGTTCCCCACTCTATCTTTGGTGAATCCTCTCTCCCCCCCCCCACCTCTGGCTTGTACCCCAGTTCTTGTATGCATAAATAAATAAATCTTTAAAAAACAGAATTGTACAGAACCTTTATTTTGATTGCTTTAACCACTAGTAGAGGAGGGGCACACTTAATGGTGTTGCCCCACCGCTCTCTCCGGACGCCATTGCTCCCGCAGTGTCTCGGGAAAGCAAAGGCGCGCTCTCCCCCACCTCCCCCGGGCACCAAGCGGCGCGGGGGCGCCAGAAGGGCAGCCGAAAAGTCCCGGCCAGTGTTTGTCTGGGCGTGGCTGAGGGCGGCGCTGCGCTGGCGGCAGGGGCGGAGCCCCGCGAGTCCCGGAGACGCGGCGTCGGCTCTCGGTCCGCTGCTTTTCGCGGGCGGGGCTGCTGCAAAGCATCTTTCTCCAGCGGATCCCCAGCTGCAGCCTGTCTTTGTTCTGGTTGCTGCCTCCTAGAGCGGCTGGCATCTGGCTCTCACCCCTGCCTCTCCCTTCCTGCCCACCCCCTGCCTCTGATCCGTAACCTCTTCACCCACCTCTCGGTCCCAGATCCTGCCTTCCCGCCTCCCCCAAACTTCGGGCCAGCTCCCTTGCCTGGTACCCTTCACTCCGGCCCTCCCTCCTGCATCTTCTTCGCCCCCACCCCGATCACTCTCAGGCCCCCCTTTTCCCAAGGTCCGGGTCGTTGCGCCCGGCCCCTCCCCTCCAGGCCGGGGATGTCCCCCGCAGCCCCGCGCGGATGGTCCTGACGCTTCTCCTCTCCGCCTACAAGCTGTGCCGCTTCTTCGCAATGTCAGACCCACGGCCCGGCGCCGAGCGATTAGCGGTGCCGGGCCCGGACCGGGGCGGCGGCGCGTGCCCCTGGTGGGCCGCAGGCGGCCGTGGGCCCCGCGAGGTGTCGCCCGGGGTAGGCACCGAGGTGCAGGGCGCCCTGGAGCGCTCACTGCCCGAGCTGCAGCAGGCACTGTCAGCGCTGAAGCAGGCGGGCGGCGCGCGGGCGGTGGGCGCCGGCCTGACCGAGGTCTTTCAGCTGGTGGAAGAGGCCTGGCTACTGCCGGCGGTGGGCCGCGAGGTAGCCCAAGGTCTGTGCGACGCTATCCGCCTGGATGGCGGCCTCGACCTGCTGCTGCAGCTGCTGCAGGCGCCGGAGCTGGAGACGCGAGTGCAGGCCGCGCGCCTGCTGGAGCAGATCCTGGTGGCTGAGAACCGGTGAGGGTGCGGGACTGGGGGGAGAATGCGAGGTGGGGGACATTAAGGGCGTTGGAGCACCTGGGCCCTCACACTGTGCCTTTCATGCCTCTCCTCACCAAATACCTGCTCTACACCCCCGCTGGGATCAGGGGATCCATTTCACAAATGAGGAAAATGAGGCTTGGGAAAGGAAAGTTTAGTGTCTTGCCCTGGAGTCACACAGCGAACTACTGGTGCATACAGGATTTGTTCCCAGGTGTGGTGGGGTGAGGAATAGGACAAGGAGAGGGGGAAGGGGGTAATAGGATCGGTATCTGTCCCTGGTTCCGAGGATGGAGATGGGATTCTTTGCCAGTGCCCCCTCCCCAATCCTACAGCCTTCCTCTCCACACGTCTGGATGCCCTTCTATGCCACCTGCTCTCTGCCTTCCCCTCTTGTTGAGAGAGGACGGGACCACGATGCAGGGGACATGTAAGCCTCCTGCTTCCTGCTTTCTTGTTTTGGTTCATGTAACAGGCCAGGCATGACCTCATTCTGTAGCTGCTAATGGGGAACAAAAGGTTTTCTGCTGGGATGGATAAGTGGGGGAAGAGAAAACAGGCATGGAGCTAGGTGGATGACAGGCAGAATGTCTGTTCTCTACCCCTCCTCCCCATAATGCCAAGGTGCAGCCGGTGAGGTTCAACTGAGGCCTGGCTGTCACTCTCTTGCCCACCTCTTGGGATCTCTCCTGGAAGATGCAGACTCCTGAGCACCCATTCTCTCCCCCCAACTTGATGCCAGAGCACATCAGCCTGTTATACCCCAGTCTCATGTTGAATCTCTGGCCCCTCAGGTTGAGAAGGGCTTGGGAAGGGTCACTTTTAGTTTGTGTATCTCTCACAAGTGTAATGGTAGTAGGTGAGGGATGCTTTCTCTGCCATTTACAAAAAATAAAAATAATCTTGTGGATGATGGAAGCAATATGACTGTCAAAAATACATGAATGAAGCTATTGAAGTTGTGAAAACCAAGTTAGGGTTCTGTTTGGTCAGCACATCTTCAATCTCCTATTTAATATCAGGTGCTCTGGTGAGGATGGGTTGTATATTTGGGGGTCAGCAAAGTGGGCTCACTGGATGTGGTGGGCCCAGTAAGTGGAGGGGCGTGTCTGTTCTGTAGGTGTGGTAAATGAGATGGTGAACCTATCACTAGAACTCCTGGGACTGACAGCTAGCACCCTAGGATGAGGAGGGGTGCAAGGTGGAGAGAATGCTGACATTTTCAAGTTTGAAAATAATCCTCACCTGGCTCAGAATCACTGAGAGGAATCACACCAATGAGTATCCCTGGTCCCAAGGAACAATGTACTGTTGGGGCCATCACTTCAGGACCAAGGACAGAGCTAGGTGTGCCTGGTCTTGAGCTTAAGTCTTCCCAAGGCAGAGTCCTCACCCCCCTTAGACTGTCAGGCTGGAAGGGAGAGAAGGGAGGCAACACGCTGAGAATTTGTTTATGAAGTCTTTTACTTCCTGCCACAACTAACCTTTTCTTTCTTTTTTTTTTTTAAAGATTTATTTATGCGTACAAGAACTAGGGTACAAACTTGTGCTGGGGTACAGACTAGGATGGAACTCATGCTGCAGAAGCTGCCGATAGCTTCATAGTGCTGAGACTTAACCCCTAGGCCACCAGGGAGGTCCATCCTCACCAATACTTTTTTCTTGACTTTTTCATAATAGCCATTCTAACTGGTATGACATGAAACCTCACTGTGGTTTTGATTTGTGTTTCCCTCATGACAAACAATGTGGATCTTTTCATGTGTCTGCTGTCATCGGTATGTCTTCTTTGGTGAAATGCCTATTTAGGTCCTTGCACATATATTGTTTTGTTATTGAGTTGTATGAGTTTATATATTTTGGATATTTGCCTCCTGTCTGATATATGATTTGAAAATATCTTCTCCAATTCGGTTGGATATAGTTCAATTTGTTTATATATTATTTCCCTTGCTGTTGGAGATAAATCCACAAATATATCACTAATGCTAATGTCAAAAAGCTTATCACCTATGTTTTATTCTATGTATTTTATGGTTTCAGGTCTTATATTCAAGTATTTAATTCATTTTGAATTAATTTTACTATATGGTGTAAGATTGTTTTCCAATTTTCCCAGCACCATTTATTGAGGAAACTTTCTTTTTTCCATTGCATGCTCTTTGCTCCTTTGTCATAAATTAGTTGTACACTTATGTGTGGTTTTGTTTCTGGGCTCTCAATTCTATTCTACTGACCCTTGTCCCTGTTTCTATTCCAGCACTGTGCTGTTTTTATTACCATAGTTTCATAACATGTGCATCATGTATACATGCTTGTATATATATACATGTGTATGTGTAGGTATATATATACATAAATATGTGTAGTAAGATTATTCTGGAAACACCAAGTACAGATGAAGAATCTTGAGCTCTAGAGATAGTCAGATGTGAGTTCAAATCCCAGCCATGCTTCTCACCAGCTGTGTTACCCTGGGCATTCATGTTACCTCTCTGAATTTTGGCTTTCTCGTTGGTAAAAGGAACAACTGCAGTGTCGACTGCCTGATTGGATAATTAGGACCCATTTATTCTGTTGAGCTGCAGTGACGCTCAGTGATCAACCCAGCATAGCTATGCTGGTCTTATGCCATGTTCTGGGATTACATGAGCCACACAAAGTCACAAGCACTGTGGTCATTGTGGTGCTCTCTGGGCAAGAACTCCATGGCTGACTGGGACTCTAAGACTTTGAAAGCAATGTCACCTATGGAGGACATCATTTGGGAAGGGCAGGAAGACAGGACATTTCTATCTCTGCATGGAGCACAGCAACTCTCCTGCCTGTTCTGCTGGCCTCCAGGCTCTCTCCCTTGGACCTGTCCTCTCCACAGCAGCCAGGATGAATTTTCTAAAACCCTTGCATGACCATGTTATTCCCCCTCCTTTCAAGGACTTCTCATTTGCCATCAAAATAAAGTATAGGGCCTCCCTGGTGATGCAGGAGTTAAAGACAGCACTATCAAGCTATCACCAGCTACTGCAGCATGAGTTCGATCCCTGGCCTGCCAGGGAGCTAACCCACATATGGCGCAGCAGACCTCTCCTGGCTCTCCTGCTGCTCCCCTCAGCAGAGTTTTCAGTAGATCTGCCTGTTCTGCTCCCCACTCTCTCTGGTGAATCCTCTTACACATACCCCTGCACCTCTGGCTTACACCCCAGTTCTTGTATGCATAAATAAATAAATCTTTAAAAAAAAATAAAGTACAAATGCTTTGAGATGACTTAAAAGCTCACCAGTACTCTTTCCTCATTCTCCCTTTAAACCCTGCACCTCAGCGTCAGAAATGGGGACTCATGCCATAGTCCCCCAAGTGAGCCAGCTCTCAGACACCTCCAGGCCTTTACGTGCATCTATGCTTGGAATGCAACCCCCTCCTTCTCCTGACTAATATCTTCACCATCTTTTTTACTTAATCCCATAGGCAGTTGTTCAGTGTATTTGTGTATCTTTCTATTTGTGTTCTGGTAAAATAATTTTAAAAACTAAGTTTTATTGAACTAACACTGGTTTATAACATTATGTAAGTATTCAGTATACAGCATTGTAATTGGACATCAGTATACACTATCTCATGATCACCACCAGAAGTCTAGTTTCCATCCATCACTATACAATGACCCCCCTTTACCCATTTCACCCACCTTATCTCCCTGCCGTTCTCCTGTTAACCATCAACCTGCCTCTGTATCTAAAAGTCTGTACTTGTTTCTTTGTTCTGTATATTCCAGATAATCTTTCATATGAATGAAATCATACAGTATTTGCCTTCCTTTGTAAGATTCACTTCACGTAGCATAATCCCCTCAAGGTCCATTCATGTTGTTGCAAATGGCAAGATTTCATCTTTCTTTATACATGAGCAGTATTCCATTGTATGTCTGTGTGTTTGTGTGTGTATATATTATATTTTCTTTATTCACACACCCACTGATGGACACTTAAGTTGTAAGTAATGCTGCAGTGAACATAGGAGTGCTCATATCTTTTTAAATTAGTATTTTCATATTCCTTGGATAAATAACCAAAATACAATAGCTGGATTATATGATATTTCTATCCTTTTTTTAAGATTTATTTATTTATGCATACAAGAGCTGGGGTACAGGCCATAGATGTGGGGGATGAGAGGATCCACCAGAGACAGAATGGGGAACAGTACAGGTAGATTGACTGAAATGCACTGCTAAGGGGAGCAGCAGGCAAGACAGGAGAGGTCTGCCTCACCATGTGGGTTTCTCCCTGGCCAGCTGGGGATCGAACTCGCGCTGCAGAAGCTGTGGATTGCTTCAAAGTGTGGTGCTTAACCCCTTGCACCACCAGGGAAGCCCTCCCTGTATGTATGTGTTTTTAATTTATGCAAATGGTATAAATTATTTTTCCCACTCAGCAATATGTCTCAATATCCTTCACATTGCTGCATTACCATGTACTCAGTCACGTGCTCCATAGTCCCTCACGTGGGCACTTGCCTCCTTCTTCATGCTCCCTGGATTGACACCAAACTGCCCTAACTTCCCCTATCACAAACAGCACTTATGCAAACAGCCTTGTCCATGCCCTCGGGGTCTGTGTGACATTCTCTTTGGCTATCAGCAAAAAAGCCCTAATTTCTGGCTCATAGGAAATGTATCTCCTGTTTCACCCACTTATCCAACCTGCTCTCCAGATTGACTGCCCCAGCCTCAACCTTTACCCAGGGTGTTCAGGGAGTTCATAGCCCTTCTTCCCACCAACCTTCTGTCTTTCCCAGCTTCTGCTTTTTGCCCATCTATTAAGCATGAAGTGATAGCTGATGCTTTAATTTTTCATTTCTCTGATTATGAATGAGTCAGAGCCCCATATTATTTGCCTGATAATATTTGGATTTCCTCCTTTAAATTGCCCATGTATGTCCTCTGCCTATTTTCTAGTAGATTCACTACCTTTTTTTTTGCTGGCTTGTATGTTTATTTATATATTCTATATGTAAATTCCTTTTGATTTTATATTTTCCCTGTGGGTTGGTTTTAGATATTGTGAATATCTCTGTCTTTCATTTTTCAGTCTTTCTTTTTCTTTTTCTTTTTTTGGCCTTTCTTCTATTCCTTAAATATGCCAAGCTCATCAGCCCTTAGGACTTTGTCCTTGTTGTTCTCTGCCTGTTGTGCTCTTCTCCCAGATCTTTGCAAGCAGAGGTCTCTGAAAGTGTAGCTTGGCAGGCTCATGCCTCCACCCAGGCATGTCCTGTTTTTGCTGTCTATTACATCACCCTGGTTTTGCTATCATGGTGATATCACTGTTATCTTGGTCATTCATTATTTACTTGGTTTTTTTTTTAAAGATTTGTTTATTTATGCATACAAGAACTAGGGTATTAGCCAGAGGTGCAGAGGGTGAGTGGATTCACCAGAGACAGAGTGGGGAACGGAACAGGCAGACTGACTGAATACACTGCTCAGCGGAGCAGGGGGCGAGACAGGAGAGGTCTGCTGTGCCATATGGGTAGTTCCCTGGCTGGCCGGGGATCGAAATTGTGCTGCAGAGGCTGCGGATAGCTTCATAGTGCGGTGCTTAACCCCTTGCACCACTAGGGAGGCCCACATTATTTACTTGTTTTTTAAAGATTTATTTTTATTTATTTATGCATACAAGAACTGGGGTACAGGCCAGAGGTGTGGGAGTGAGAGGATTCACCAGAGACAGAGTGGGGAGCAGAACAAGCGGATCTACTGAAATACACTGCTGAGGGGAGCAGTGGGTGAGACAGGAGAGGTCTGCTGTGCCATGTGGGTCAATTCCCTGGCCAGGGATTAAACTCATGCCACAGTGGCTGGCGATAGCTTGGTAGCACTGAGACTTAACACCTGCGCCACCAGGGAGGCCCTCATTCATTATTTACTTGCTTGTTGTTTGTCTCCATATTAACTGGCATAAGGACCAGTCATTCTTCGTTACTGTTGCACTTCAGCCCCTAGTGCCCAGAACCTAGTAGGTCCTCAATAAACTTCTGTTGAGTGAGGAATAGATACACCTCAGTCATGCTGCAGCATGGAGTGAAGAGGTAGGGTCCTCAAGGGACACTTCACAGGATAATAAGAAGTTAACATTTATTGAGTCTTTCCTGTGGGCCTGGCACTGTGTCAAGCACTTTGTGTGGATTGTCACATTAGTCCTCACAATAATGCTAAGAGGTAAGGTATTCTTTGTATCCTATTTATGAGAAGAGAAAAGTGAGTTACAAAGATAATGGCAGAGAAACTAGAAAAAGACAAAGAAAGCAGGACCCAGGGCATCTGCTCCAGAACTAGGATATAGCTTGGGGAAGGGTGAAGGGCAAAAGGAGGTGTGGCCAGGATGGAGTACCCTCCCAGGGCAGGAGGGGAAGTTGGGAGGCAGGGAGGGTAACGCTCTCCCCATGTCTCATGACACTCGTGAGGCCCAGAGATGACCAGCTGGTGGATGACCAGGAGGTGACCCCCAGGGGCAAACCAAGGTCCCCAAATCAAAGCAACTCCACCGACCCCCTCCCACTTTCTCTTACTAGGGACCGAGTGGCGCGCATCGGGCTGGGCGTGATCCTAAACCTGGCAAAGGAGCGCGAGCCAGTGGAGCTGGCGCGGAGCATAGCAGGCATCTTGGAGCACATGTTCAAGCACTCGGAGGAGACCTGCCAGCGGCTGGTGGCGGCCGGTGGCCTGGACGCGGTGCTGTACTGGTGCCGCCGCACGGACGCGGCGCTGCTCCGCCACTGCGCGCTGGCGCTGGCCAACTGCGCGCTTCACGGGGGCCAGGCGGCGCAGCGGCGCATGGTGGAGAAGCGCGCCGCGGAGTGGCTCTTCCCGCTCGCCTTCTCCAAAGAGGACGAGCTGCTGCGGCTGCATGCCTGCCTCGCGGTGGCAGTGCTGGCAACCAACAAGGAGGTGGAGCGCGAGGTGGAGCGCTCGGGGACGCTGGCACTCGTGGAGCCGCTGGTCGCCTCGCTAGACCCCGGCCGATTCGCCCGCTGCCTGGTGGACGCCAGCGACACAAGCCAGGGCCGCGGCCCCGACGACCTGCAGCGCCTCGTGCCGCTGCTCGACTCGTCGCGTTTGGAAGCACAGTGCATCGGGGCTTTCTATCTCTGCGCCGAGGCGGCGATCAAGAGCCTGCAGGGCAAAACCAAGGTCGGTGGGGTGGGGCCGGGCGGGGTTAGACAGCGTCTGGGGAGGCTTTTCAGAGGAAGTGACGTTGAACTAGGTGGGTGAAGCAAGAAGGTTGAAGCACCAGTCTTCCGGCCTGGAAGGCAAAGTTTTTAAGCAGGAGCACTTACTTGTATTTTACAAAAATTACCCTGGCGGCTGCATCCCAGAGCTGGGATTGGGTGAAGTTGGAGGCCAGGGTGCCAGAGAGGAGGCCATAAAGGGGGTCATTGGAAAGACGCAGGTCTCTGCTAGGGCATGACAGCAGAGGCAAAATGAAACAGAAGGCTTCCAAAGGTCCTGAAGAGAGAGAATTAGAACTTAGTGTGTAGCTGGGTGAAGAGGAAGGGGAAGCTGAGGATGACTCCCTTCTTTGGATACAAGCATCCCAGTGCATGGTGACACTGGTACAAAAAGTGAACTGGGTGAGAGAAAGGTTGGAATTGGGGTGGGGCTGCCCATTAGTTCACCAGACGGTTTGAGGGGCCTGAGAGATGAGCAGCTGGAAAGCTCTGGTGAACCATGTCATCGTTTGGGTCTGGAGTCCAGGATGTAGATGAGATGTAGAGACAGAGGCTTGGGGGCAGAGCATTGCTGTATCAGCCAGCTAACTCCTGAGTCTCAAGAGGTCCCATTCTCAGGGCCCAGTCTGAAGCTGTTTTAATTTGCAATGTCACCTTTGATACCTGACTTCCTCTCTCTGGGCCTCTACATGCCTCGTTTTAAAAAAAGATTCATTGGGCCTCCCCGGTGGCGCAGCAGTTGAGCGCTGGGTTGCGAAGCTGCCCGCAGCCTCTGCAGCGCCAGTTCGATCCCCGGCCGCTTGCCGGCCACCGGAGGAGGGTCCCACATGGCGCGCAGACCTCTCCTGCCGCCCGCTGCTCCCCTCAGCAGTGTACTTCGGTCCTTCTGCCTGCTCTGCTTTCCCGCTCTGGCTCTGGTGAATTCTCTCACCCTCCGGTGCTTCTGACTGTACCCAGTGCTTGTATAAATAAATAAATAAATCTTTAAAAAAAAAAAAAAGAAGTATTAAAAAAAGATTTATTTACTTACGCATACAAGAACTGGCATCTAGGACAGGTACAGGGGATAAGCGGATTCACCAGAGACAGAGTGGGGAACAGAACAGACGGATTGATTGAAATACACTGCTGAGGGGAGCAGCAGGTGAGACAGGAGAGGTCTAGGTGGGATAACCCACTAACAGGTGGGTTACTTCCCTGGCTGAGAATTGAACTCAGGCCACAGTGGCTGGCGATAGCTTGATAGTGCTGAGACTTTAATCCCTGCGCCACCAGGGAATACATGCCTCATTTTTATCCTCTGGGAAATTGAAGAAATGGGCCACAGTATCAGTTCTTACCCTGGATGGGGGACTAGTAAAAGTTAAATTTTCAAAGGGTTGCATTTTCTGATTTTTAAATATTACAGAATCCAGATTATCCCTTAAAGTTACCCCCCTCCTTTACGTTCCTCTGGGGGGTCCGCTGGGGTGGGCACAGGGAGTGTCACATGCCTCATGAACAACTCTGACCATAGCTGTCACCCGGGGTTGCTCAGGGAACATGTCTTACAGATGACTGTCACCCATCAGGTGTCCCCAAAGATCAAGAAAAGACTGTTGTGTGAGGGGGTCACTGAGGTTTCTTCTAAGGTCCAGTGTTCTAGGAGTTTCTGATTCTCCCATCTATCCCCAGGATTGAGCCATGGGAGAACTGGTTTACAAAGCAGGGCATTCTGCTTTGGGAGAAAGGAACATGAAGAAGGGAGTGAGGACCCCAAGGACTAGGATTAGGTCTGGGCAGCAGCCGAGACTACCAACAAGGTCAAGCGAGTGCAGTTTAATGACGACATTGAGCCGCCATGCTGTGCCCTGCACTGTGCCAGGTGTGGGACTCTAGGGGTCACTAAGACATAACTAGATAAAGGTCTAGGGGAAGCTGCGGTATCAACTAGGTACAGTAGCTTTCAGAGTGAAGTACAAGGTCTAATTGGAGAGGTGGGCCAAACTGGGGGAATCAAATCTCATCAATTTGTATTTTAGCAAATGAGTAAGATTCCTACAATGCTGGAAGAACTAAGGTCTGGGAACATTATGGGCAAATGTCCGAAAGTAGGAGAGTCAGCCTTGGTGGTCAGGCAGGTGTGGGCTGGGGAAAGGCAAGGTGAAACTGCTGAGCAGCGGGCGGAGGATACACTACACCTGGCCTGGCGTCCGTACTGAGAGTTCAGACATTATCCTAGGGCAGGTGTAGGCTGTAGAGGGCAAACATGAGTCGGCCCTAGCTTACCTAGTTAAGAGTTGAAAGAATTTCAAGAGGGGGAATCCACATGACTTAGTGATTTATTGAATGAAGGCAGAGGTAGGGCTGATGGTGGGACTCTCGGCCTTGAGAAAAAGCTCGGGAAGGGTGGGAGTGTTTTTGGGTGCTGCTGGAAAGCTGCTGGATCCAAACACCCTCTCCTCACCCCTCCTTAGGTATTTAGCGACATTGGTGCCATTCAGAGCCTGAAACGCCTCGTTTCCTACTCCACCAATGGCACCACGTCGGCGCTGGCCAAGCGCACCCTGCGCCTGCTGGGTGAGGAGGTGCCGCGGCCCATCCTGCCCTGCGTGGTCAGCTGGAAGGAGGCCGAGGTCCAGACGTGGCTGCAGCAGATCGGCTTCTCCCAGTACTGCGAGAGCTTCCGGGTAGTCCGAGCCAGCGCATCCCCGAGGGTCCCTGCCGCCAGGGGTGCCCTGCACTAGGGGCCTGCGCCCCTTCCCAGCCCGCACACCCTCCACCAGCGTGATCTTCTAGGGAGGGGGGAGACTTGACTCAAAGGGTCACTCGGCCCTAATCTGGGTCCATCCACCACCCCCAAAACCATATCCACTTCCCTCTCCTGGATGTGCTTGGGGTGCAGTGGCTAAGCCAGGGAACCCTTCTTTACATCTGACCCCTCCCCCAGGAGCAGCAGGTAGATGGCGACCTGCTCCTTCGGCTCACGGAGGAGGAACTCCAGACCGACCTGGGCATGAAATCGGGCATCACCCGCAAGAGGTACGAAGCTTCCAGATCGCCTGCGTCCCCTTCCCTCCCTGCAACCAGGTCTAATCAAACGCCCCCTCCGCCACTAGCCAGTTCCTCAGGACCTCAGCGTCCTCTCCTCCGTGGGCTACAGATTCTTTAGGGAGCTCACGGAGCTCAAGACCTTCGCCAACTACGCTACGTGCGACCGCAGCAATCTGGCCGACTGGCTGGGCAGCCTGGACCCGCGCTTCCGCCAGTACACGTACGGCCTGGTCAGCTGCGGCCTGGACCGTTCGTTGCTGCACCGCGTGTCGGAGCAGCAGCTCCTGGAAGACTGTGGCATCCGCCTGGGCGTGCACCGCGCCCGCATCCTCACGGCCGCCCGAGGTGAGCCTGCTGGCGCCCTGTCCCGGCCGCCCGCGCCCCTCCTTACCCACCCAACCCTGGAGGAGTGAGGGGAGACACTAGGGGGGGTCTTAGCGCCTCCCTGCAGATGGAGCATTTAACCTCAGTTGGTGGGAAGGCCCGGAGTTCACAGATTAGTCCCAGCAACAACACTTAGAAAGTATGCGTGTTTAGGGAGGTCATGGGGGCAGAAGGGGGCCTAGGGCTCTAGTAACCTTTATTTACTAATTTATTTTAATGCACTAATTTACTATTTAGCTAACACTTATTGTCAATTACTTGAAACTTTTTAAATAAAAGGGGGTATAATTTAACCTAAAAGTATCCGGTTTCAAGAGTTTTGAGAAATGCATATCCCTGTGTAACCAATATCATCAGACAATGAACTTTTCAACCAAGGGTGTTAATTTTAAAGATGGTGAAACTAAAATTTAAAGAACTTAAATACACTTCCCATTGTTATAAAAGCCATTAAATAATGGAACTGGGATCTGAAGTTTTCTGCTTCATAGGCAGACAAGTGTTATCTGTGAGTGTCAGATCTGAATATTACAAGATGGATTCTTTTCAGTCAGCCATTCATTCAGCAAATATGTGCTAATATGCACCTGAGTAGAGGCTCCCCGCCCCCAAAAAGGACAGGGAGTAGCCTTTGGCGCAATTCTTTGGCTTCCACTAGAGCAGATCAGCTTTATCATTCTACATCGCAACTCTCAATAAAACTCCAAGATTTCATTTCCTAAAATCAGTGTTCGATGGCAATAATAGCTTGCAAACCCTTCCTATGGGAGTAGGAAGCCAGGCATAGTTTCAAAGCACGCTCACATTCGCTGTGTAGCCATAGCAAACAGGTTAGCTAGCCAAATGTGGATTTGGGGAGCCCACTGAGGGGTGAAGTTGGGGGACTGGACACAGGGACGGCCCTTGCTCTGAAGTCCCGGATGTTTAGTGGAAGAATCCACAGCGCACAGTGCCTGGCTCTGAGTACTGAAGGTCAGCTCCATGAGGTGGAGTTTGTTTAGTTCATGGCTATATCTCAAGCACTCAGAATAGTGAAGTGTAGTAAATATGTGTTATATGTTGAGTGAATGAATGAGAGGCAGTAGTTGAAGCTGATCCCAGGTTTATGGTTTTGGTGGAAAAGTAGGAAGAAGGGGGCCAGGGAGGATTTGGGCTCTCGGGTTTGGAGCACCTGTGGGCAGTTCGCTGTGCAGGGCTTGAGTTGTGGAGCGAAGCTGAGGCAGGGCTGGAGGTGCATATCGATGTCCCTAAAATATAATACCTGCCTCCAAAAAGGCAAACAATAGTTTGCAATCTTACTTCTTTTCAGCCCCTCTGTCCACCTCAGAGACCCATTTTGGAGCCAGCCCCTCCCTGGACTGGACTGAAAGGGCTGCAAGGACAGGGGATGATGTATCTCATGGTGAAATGGGGAGGGACCACCCTCATCAAACCTTCTCTTGTCTGCCTCAGAAATGCTGCACTCCCCACTGCCCTGCACCATCTGCAAGCCAGGTGGAGATGCCCCGGATGTCTTCATCAGCTACCGCAGAAACTCAGGTTCCCAGCTGGCCAGGTGAGGAGGGGCAGCCAGGCAGGCAGGCGGGCAGCCTGGGGCCTTGCGACAGGCCACGGAATGACAGAGGACTTCTTTGCAGCCTCCTGAAGGTGCACTTGCAACTGCACGGCTTCAGTGTCTTCATCGATGTGGAGAAGCTGGAAGCAGGCAAGTTCGAGGACAAGCTCATCCAGAGCGTCATGAGTGCCCGCAATTTTGTGCTGGTGCTCTCAGCGGGGGCACTGGACAAGTGCATGCAGGATCACGACTGTAAGGACTGGGTGCACAAGGTAGGTGCTGGCTCTGCTGTCAGTACTGGGGGTGGACACATAGTAGACACTTACTGAACACATGCAGGATGGATGGGTCCATTCACATCACAACATTAATCAGTGAATAGAAACAGGGACTGGGACTGAGGGATGCTGTCGTCATCTGATGGGGGTCCTTGCCCTAAGGCAGCAAAAGAAGACAAGAACATGCCCAGAATGCCTAATGCTAAGTGAGATGGTGAAACTCTTGTTTGATGTGGGTATATGGAGAAGAGAAAAAAACACTGAGGGCTGGAATAATCAGGGAAGGCTTCATGGAGGAAGCTGGCCTTGAGAGAAGTCTTAAGAATTTATTAGTGAAAGAGAAGTCATCCCAGGCAGGGGAACAACATAAGCAAGGAGCAAAGTAAGGATGAAAATGGTTCCTCAAGCCTACATGTGTCACTGGTATTGCTTTCTCTATCTTACACATGAAGAAATTGAGGCTCAGAAAAGTAGAATAATTTTTCCTCTGGCCACACTACTGATGTCAAGACAAAAAGCTGGGCTTTGAACTCTGCCTGACTCCAGAGCCCATGCTCTTTCCTAGGACCCAGCTGTGTTCCACGGCACAGGTCTGAGGCAAGGAAAGTTGGGGGATAGGACTGGGTTCAGCAGACACTAGAATGATTGCCTGTTTTTCTTTCGAACCCCAAGTTCGATGACATGGTGTTAGTAGCTTGAAATCAGACACAATGGGAGTCATTACACTAATGAAATTGGTAAACACTACAAATCAGGGTTTTAGTTGTTTGGTTGGCTTTTTCTACCTCTGGAGAGCTACTTGTTAACCATTTGCCAGCATACTGCTGGCTGGATTAGAACTATGGAAGCAAATTGTGGGGTTGAGTTTAAAGCTTTGAGAAAAGGGGCCTGCGAGAGCAGTGATAGCAGTCCAGTGGCTTCAGGAGCAACCTCTGACACTAAGGTGAGCCCAGAGTGACATTGGGGCAGGGCCAAGCCTTAGAGGCCATGCACGAGCAGCTTAGGACTGACTGGGCTGGTTTGGGAAGGTGCGCTGGGCCAGGAGAGACACCCTGGAGGAACTTGGCTAGTGGCCTCGAGCAGGTGGCAGGCAGCCTTCTGAGAGAGCAAGAAGTATCTGTGAGCTCCACGAGAGCTCAGATCAGTCTTGCTCACAATGCATCCTCCATGCCTAAATCCAAGCATGGCACAAAGCATGGCACATCTCTCAAAAAGTTTATGGAACCCTACATAACTATTAGGTTACCAGTCTGGAAGACTTGAAGTTCCCATTCTTAACCAGCTAAGTGATCTTGAATAAGCCTTTAGCCGTCTCTCTTAGCCAGTCTCTGAATCTGTGAAACAAATGTCTAAAGTTCCCAAATAAATTGCTGTGGGGTGAGAATTCAAGTGCTCACTGTGGTTTTGTTGAAAAAAACCTTCACTTGAAATATAGTCTGAGTCAGAGGCCTGGCCCTTCCTGGAAGTGTGTGGTATGTGTTATGTTGGGTCTGTCTGTCTGTCTCAGGAACAAGTCCCCTCTCTGTGTTTCCTTCTTCTCCTTTTTTAAAATGAAGAGGTTCCCCAGAAAGTTGGTCAGAGTTGAAGTTATACAGGTTCTTTCTTCAGAAAGGCTCTGATCCACAAGGGTGTTTGGCACCCATCAGTGTCTCAGTCGACTGCAAGGAAGGAGAGGCAGTCTCAGTCGACTGCAAGGGTCAGGGAGTGGGTGGTGGTGGCAGCTTTTGCCTTGGGCCAGTCTCAAAGACTCCGTCATCCCTCCTTGGTTGCTTTGAGTCCTTAATTGCCTCCTGTTTTTAAACTCCTTTCCGTGAAGCCACATTTAGTGGGTAATCAATATAGAAAACCACAAGTGGACTGCACTCAAGAAAGTCCAATCTTTGTGGTTCTCCCTTGAAAGGAAAAAAAAAATTCAGTAAGTACTTACCAGAGCATCCATTAATAGTAAGTAATATCCTCAGAACAATCTTGTGAATGAGGTTTATTACCCCCACTTTACAGAGGAGGAAATAATTACACCTATTGTTTATTAAGTATTCACAATGTGCTACGTGCTGTTCTAACCACTTGCCATGAGATGTAACTGCAGTTATTCTTCCAACAGTCCTACAAGTAAGGACCATTGTTTTCCTTACTTCACATTTTAGAAAACAGAGGCTTGGAGATCTTGTTTTTGCCTCAGGTCACAGAACCTGTGTCGGAGATACAATGTGAACCCAGATCTGATGATTCCAGAGTGCAGCCCCTAACTGCTAAACTGTGGTCTCATTCATTCAGCCAGCCAGCCAGTCAGCCAGCCAGCCATTATTTAGCAAGGGCTAACTATGGGCAGGGCTTTGTGAAAGACTGAGTAAAAACAAGACATGGTCCCTGCCCTTGTGTCTAGTGGGGAAGACAGATATTAAGTAAATTACTCATCAATCCATTTAAATTAGCAACTGTAGTATGTGCTGCAGAGCCTGGGAGAGCCTGTAATGGGGGATCTGACTTGGTCAGGGAAGGGAGAGAAGACTTTCAGAAGAAAATGTTGATTGAATACAGATAAGGGAAAAAATAGGTATTATTTAGGTGAAGGGGAAGTACATTCTAGACAGAGGAGGAAACAGCTTGTCCAAAGACCCTGTACAGGGCCTCCCTGGTGGCTAAAGGGGTTAAGTCGCAGTACTGTGAGGTTATCCGCAGCCACTGCAGCACAGCACGGGGTGGGGGGTGGAGGCTGACCCACATGGCGCAGCAGACCTCTCCTGTCTGGCCTGCTGCTCCCCTCAGCAGTGTATTTCAGTCAGTCTGCCTGTTCTATTCCCCACTCTGTCTCTGGTGAATCCTCTTAGCCCTGCACCTCTGTCATATACCCCAGTTCTTGTATGCATAAATAAATAAATAAATATTTTCTTTTTAAAAAGTGAAAAAAAAAAAACCAAACACCCTGTGCAGGGAGGGAGAATGACAAATCTAAGGGGATTGCAAGGTCTGGAAGGACAGTACAGGGGTAGAGTTTGAGAATTAGACTGTAACCAGCCTCACAGGCCTTGCTGACCACACTAAGGAGCTTGAACTTGATTCTAAGAGCCATGTAAAGTCTTGAAGCATTTTTTTTTTAAAGATTTATTTATTCATGGGCCTCCCCGGTGGCGCAGTGCTTGAGCACTGGGTTGCGAAGCTGCCCGCAGCCTCTGCAGCGCCGGTTCGATCCCCAGCTGCTCCCTGGCCACCGGAGGAGGGTCCCACATGGCGCGCAGACCTCTCCTGCCGCCCGCTGCTCCCCTCAGCAGTGTACTCGGTCCTTCTGCCTGCTCTGCTCCCCGCTCTGGCTCTGGTGACTTCTCTCACCCTCCCGCGCTTCTGACTGTACCCAGTGCTTGTATAAATATAAATAAATAAACAAATAAATAAAAAATATTTAAAAAGATTTAAATATTTATTTATTTATTTATTTAAAAATAAAAAAAAGATTTATTTATTCATTTGCACAAGCACTGGGTACAGTCAGAAGCGTGGGAGGGTGAGAGAATTCACCAGAGCCAGAGCAGGGAACAGAACAGGCAGACTGATTAAAATACACTGCTGAGGGGAGCAGCAGGCGTGGCAGGAGAGGTCTGCGCGCCATGTGGGACCCTCGCTGGTGGCCGGGGATTGAACCGGTGCTGCAGAGGCTGCGGGCAGCTTTGTAGCCCAGTGCTCAACTGCTGCGCCACCAGAGGAGACCCAAGTCTTGAAGCATTTTAAGAAGGAGTGGTGTGATCAGATGTGTACTTTGTGAAGTGTAGCTAGATGAAGGGGCAATGTGGAGAATGAGCTAGAGAGGGCAAGAGTGAGCAAAGACACACCTGGTGGGTTCTAGAGATAATGGGGGTAGGAAAAGGCTGGTTGTGCTGGGGTGGAAGTAGGAAAAAATGGGTGGATTTGAGAATTAAGTGAGGGATACAGTTGACAGGGCCCATGATGGATTCATTTGGGTCTCTCCCCTGGCCGGCCAGGAATGGAACCCGCACTGCAGAGGCTGCGGACAGCTTCACAGTGCTGCGCTCAACCCACTGCGCCACCAGAGAGGCCCGTGATGGATTCATTTGGATGCAGGGTTATGTTTTTCTTCTGAAAAACAAATCGTGTGGGTTTTTTCCCACACCAACAATCAATTCTCCAACACCAGATGGGTATCCCACCATTTAATCCTGATGCTAAATATCCAGAACAAATGTGAAACTAGAGGTTTCAGGGCTCATTCTCACAATTGGGCCTTAATTTCAAATGTTCTAGGCTCTCCACACTTCTGACTTGGCTACAAATTCAGAGCTTCCCCCTTTCAGGTTCAATAATTTCCTAAAATGACTCACAGAACTCAGGAAAGCTCTTTTTTTTTTTTTTTTTAAATAGAGGCATGTTTTATTTGTTTGTTTGTTTGTTTATACATGAACTGGGTACAGTCAGAAGCGCGGGAGGGTGAGAGAATTCACCAGAGCCAGAGCGGGGAGCAGAGCAGGCAGAAGGACCAAAGTACACTGCTGAGGGGAGCAGCGGGCGGCAGGCGAGGTCTGCGCGCCATGTGGGACCCTCCTCCAGTGGCCGGGGAGCAGCCGGGGATCGAACTGGTGCTGCAGAGGCTGCGGGCAGCTTCGCAACCCAGCGCTCAACCGCTGCGCCACCGGGGAGAACCTCAGGAAAGCTCTTCACTACTACTGATGTGCTGCAGAAGATATGACTGAGGAACGTACAAGTGGAGAAGATGCACTGGCCAAGATATGAGGGTGCAGGCAGGAGACACAGAGCTTCCACGCTGCTGTGCAACCACCCAGGCTGGGCAGGTTCATTGTTGATTCTCACAGACAAAAAAGAGAATTTTGGAGCCTTTGGCATATCTTACAGACCTTTAATGCTGAATCAGGGGACAAACCGGCAGGCAGGGAGACCGCAGCTGAGCCCACTGGCCTCAGAGTGATGCCGCTACCATTCTCGAAGTTAAGGCCAGCGCTGACGACCTTTCAGTCCTGGCTTCTGGGCACAGGTGTCTGTTTACATATGTGCATGCACGTGCTCTCTGGGCCTAGGTATCCATAGTCAAAAGTGTGTGTGCCCTGCACACCTCTCCACCCTGGGCACCCCTGTGTGTGAGCAACCTAGGAGGAATACAAGTCCTCTGGTGGTAGAGGATAGAGGTGGGAGGGTGGAAAAAAGCCCCAGCTAACTCCATTTTCCCTGCACATGCCTTCTCCAGCTCACCCTCCCAGCACCTAGATGTGTTCACAATGCAGCTGGTGCTTAGGGGCTGTTGTGGATGTTTGCATAGGTGTGATCAAATCAATGGCTACTAGGGACTGGACTTACTCTCCAGCCTCTTTCCCCTGCCAGGAGGGCGGCGAAGCAGAGTATGAGGGTGGTGGGTGGCTAAAAGCTCTCAAATCATAGCTTCGTCTTTCTGGTAATCAGCCCCCATGCTGACGTTAGGTCTAGGCACTAGGCCTCCCTTACTACTCCCCCCACTCCCTCACTCTGTCTCCCAATCATCTAGTGATTCCAAGGCTTTTAGGAGCTCTGTGTTGAGAACCGGGGAGAAAGACCAGTTGTTTTTAATTATATTAGAGGGGCAAGGAAGAAGTCAAGGTGGACTGCAGCACCAGCACCTCTACTCTGGGTTGGGCCTGTGCTATTGGCCCCCCAGTGATACCTAGCCCCAAAGCCCATGCATGCAGACTCAGGTCTCTTCGTCCTCCCCTCTTCTTTCTCCAGGAAATTGTGACTGCTTTGAGCTGCGGCAAGAACATAGTGCCCATCATTGACGGCTTCGAGTGGCCAGAGCCGCAGGCCCTGCCCGAGGACATGCAAGCTGTGCTCACCTTCAATGGCATCCAGTGAGGAGGGGCTAGTGGGCACACAGGTCCCCAGCCGGCGGCTCCCTCTGCCCAGCCCTCTGACCCACCAGCCTCTGTGCCCACAGGTGGTCCCACGAGTACCAGGAAGCCACCATCGAGAAGATCATCCGCTTCCTGCAGGGCCGCTCCTCCCAGGACTCATCTGCAGGTTCCGACACCAGTTTGGAGGGTGCCACACCCATGGGCCCAACCAGCCCCTAGTTCCCAGGCCCTGTTGTCACCCATTTTCCATCACACCCCCACCCCACCCCCCACCCTCCCAGAGTAGCTCCTTCCTGTCCAGGCCAGGCTGGGACAGCCAGGGCTCTTCTCAGGAAATGGCTTTCCCTCTTCGCCACCTCATGGTCCCCCTCAAACCCAGCTTCTTCAGTATCTGGTAAGAGAAGTCAGGCATTGTGGTGGTAAGACCACCCCAAACCCTGCCACCAGATTCTCTGTCTTGAGTGTGGGGACGTCACTGCTCAGTCCTGGAGACACTTGAGGTGGAGGTTGATTGCATACCACCCCTTTCCTGCCCTGAGAGCAGACAGCGTGAGCAGGATGAAGGGCAAGGCCCAACTCCTCTCAGCCAGCAAGGGCCTGGACCCAGGAGCCAGCGGGGATGAGAGTCCAACTATGCCCGGCCCCTGTGCTCACCACTTCCTGCTGCCCTATAGCCACTCAGTGCCCTTAGCCGCCTAACCAGGTCCTGAATCTCCTCCCTCAGTCTTCCTGAGGTGCAGCCTCCTTGCACACATCAGGGGTGGGGGCATGGGCAGGGCAGGCTGGGCCAGCCCCCAGTCCGGCAGATCTGCAGTTGCTTCGGCTTTACTGCACTCACTGGTGCCTGCGAGCCCCTGCCTGGACCCAGCCCAGAGCAGGCCACATCTCAAAGGGCAGCCAGCCTGCCCTGCCCTGTGCCTTGGTGCTGTGCTTCAGACTCCTGCCCTGCCTGGTCCAGCTGGCTTCTCCCAGCCCCTCACCCACCCACTTGCTCAGGGGGAACAGGGACAAGGCAGCCCCTTGTGGCAGGAGCAATAGCCTGGCTAGAACCTATCGCTCCATGGGAAGAAGCAAGATCCTGAAGGGCAAGGTGTGTATTTGAATCACCTGGGAGTTTTGTTAAAATTCCATTCAGGAGCTCTGGGTGGGGTCTGTGAATCTGCTTTTCTCACATTGCCAGGTGAGCTGCTGCTGGTGGCTAAGTAGCAAATGCCTGGCAATTCTTCGCCATTTCCCAGAAATTCCATACCATGGTCTCTATAGTTATCAGAACAACCCTACCCAGCACAGTACTCATTTGACAGAGAAGGAAACTGAGGTTCAGAAAGGTTGAGTGGCATGCCATTTCCCTAGCCATTCACGGTAGCCCCTGGCCCCAGCCCCGGCTTCCTGTGCTCTGTCCACTGCAGTGGGCCTGCTCTCCTGACTGGAGGTGAGCCCAGGGCAGGGCTGTTGCCCACCACAGCTGGCTCCTCCCTCACCCCACAGAATCTCGCAGTGAAGGGTAGGTTATCAGAATGAAAAGCTGGCCCAGGGGCTGTACAGAAGTAATTGAGCAAGATGTGCCTCTGCCCTTTCCTTCACTAGGATAGAACAAGAAAGTATCCTCCCTTCAAAATTCCCAGCTTCAGCCCCTTCAGCCACTGCCCTCCTTCCCTCCCAAGGACAGTGGCTAACATCTCAACACTGGCTAGGTCCAGGGCTGCCTCTCAACAGGTGCAGGCCAGGTCACCCCTAGATCTTAAACCACATCATCAGAAAGTCAAAGGTCTCACTCTGGGCCTAGGATCTCTCCCCCCACTGCCCTCCCTGCCAGAGACAGTGCTGGTTTCAACTCTGGCTTTGACTGCATTTGACTCTCCTTCCTTCATACCACACATGTGCCCACCAGTGCCAGGTCCTGGATATGATGGTGAATGAGATCAACTGGATGTTGCCCTCCCAGAGCTGAGACAGTAACAATACAGTGTGCTGAGTATCCTCCGGCAGCTTTGTCATTTTGTCCCCCATCAGTCCTTCCTCATGAGGTCCCCTCGGCAGCACTCAGGGTTTCCTGGCTGTCTCCTTTTCTGTTTGGTACATCCTTTGCTTCTGTCCATTTACTGCTTGGTCTTCTGGTTGATCTCTGCCCTTCTGTTTCTTCAAGAAATCAGAGCCCAGACTCTGCCCTCCACCTGGGTGAGGCCAGTGTTTCTAGGGACTGTTCCAGGGACTGCTGTGACAAACTGCCCAGACAGCAGCCAGGGCAGGCACCTTGGCCCTCACCTTCCACCCAGGCCTGGCCTCAGAGGGCTGTCCCGAGACAAAGGGCTGAGGAACAGCCTTTCCCCTGAAGCCTGCTCTGACACAGGCCTGCAGGGTCAGGGTTTTCTCCTTGACTGGACTGCAGTTGCTGCCTCCAGGTCATGGCTGAGTCAGTTTGGTCCCTACCCAACCTCACCCCACCTCTCTCCAGGGACGGAGAACTGCTTAGGGATTCTCATGGGTAAAAAGTCCAGCCCCAACTCTAGCCTTACCCCATAGCACAGGAAGAGGCTTTTCATTCTAGAATATGAGGTAGGAAGGTGCTCGGAACATCATCTAATCCAGTGTTTCCTAATTTGTTTGTAGTGGCAAGCCTGCACAGGCCGGGCAAGCTGGCGGGCCTCCCAGGCCCCAGGGAATCTTTACTCTTTCTCTTTACCGTTCTCGTGTGGTCTCTTCCTCTCGTAGCCATTCTCTACCACAGCCCTCGTGTCTCAGTGTGATTGTATTGATTTATTATGATTGGCACTGCTAAGCCAAGGGGTGGGCAGGTTATCGTCAAGGATTGATTCTTCACCAGAGACAGCAGCACTCTTCCCCCTAGAGGGCATCAGTTCCCACAACTCTCCCTCCCACCAAAGCTGGCACTCCCTGGGTACCATACTCATCACTTGGAGTGACTGGTGGCTGCTCGCCAGGAAATGAGCACAGTGAGCTGTGCAGTTTTGGCTGGAAGTAGAGAGGCCAGCCCTCGTGTTTCTCCTAAGTATCACTTAGCCTCTCCTTGGAGGGCTAAGTGACAGATGGTGTAAAGGGTAAATGGACCGCTCTTGCAAATGGCTCCCCCACCATCCACCCAGGAGTGGGCCTGTCTGGGTTACAATTCTAGATCTGAGAGACACAGGCTGGCGCAGCGATGGAACAGGCAGGACTCATCTGGCTTGACCACCTTGTCCAAGGGGAACATGCCCTCAAGGGGAACTGCGGTGCTGCTGTGGGCTGGGATCCCAGATGGGTAATTCTACTTGGTTAGTGCTCATTTGGCTCCACTTGCCCTTTGTCCCCTGGCCCAGGCAGATCAGTTCTGGGGAAACTGCTGGAATTCAGGGTGAGGGTTTATCTTTTCCAGTACCCTGTGGAGACAAAAGAGGGTTCAGATTTGACATGGGTCAGATCCTCAACTCCTGGAGAAGTGAAATGGGCTTTCCTTGGGTGGGCTGGATTAGTTGTCCTACTCCCCAAGCTTAGAGGTGGAAGACCATGTCCTCTGGAAAGTGACTCTTGTGGCCATGGGGGAAGTCAGCGGGTCTGGCAAGCTTGTGGCCCAGTCACAAATAGCCAAGAATGCTCTCTGGGGTTCCCTCTAGTGTATTTCTGCCAACATAGCTCCATCTGAAAAGTGGGAATGGAGGGGGCCCAGGGGAACTTGGGTAGAGTCTTGCCAACAAGCACATTTAGCTTGATCCTTCCCTAACCCACCCCCCTGCCCTGTACTGAGGGAACGGCTCCCAGGGGCTGAGGCAGTCATCTGCAAGGGGACAGTCGGGTAGGGGAAGGGCTCTGGGAATGAGGCTGTCATTCCCGGTTGGGAGGAGGAAGAGAAGACCTTCAGGGTAAAGGGCTCCTTTATGAGCACGGGTTCAGAGTCCTGCCTTACCCAATCAGTATGGCTGGGATGAAAAGGAGGCCAGCTCCCAAGAGGAAGGGGAACCCCTTCATGAAGTTCAGGGTTGCTGGGTAGAGCGTGTTGAAGATGCCGGAGGCTGCCAGCATGGCCAAGCCATTCACACAGGCCACAGCAGAAAAGAGAGCACCTGTGAAGAAAGAAATACCACTCTGGAGTTTGAAAGATCCAGGTTCAAATCTTGGCACTACGACTTCACGACTGTGTGACCGGGAGAAAGTCACTTGACCTCTCTGAGTCTTATCTCCTGCACCTGTAAATCCTACCACATCACATATAGTGTTAAGGAGTCAGTGAGGCCAGGCATGGAAAGTAGCTGGCACACAGGGACTAGGAAATAAATGACTGCTATTAAATCCACATGAAAGTACACATGATACCTTCTAGCAGAAGCCTGATCAGAATGGTTTTTGGCTCACCCTCTTTGGAATCATCTCCAGTTTGAGGTTAATTGCTGGGTTAATTCCCCGTTCCAACACTTCCTAGCTGTATGATCGCTGAGAAAGCTGCCTATCCTTTTGAGTTTCTGTTAAATAAGGATAATACCTATTTCATAGGTTGTTGGTAACATGAAGTTTGCACATAAAGCACCTATCAAGGAGCCTGGCCCCCTGGAGGTAGCCAGTTAGTGAGGGCTGTTGTTTTCTCCTGTTCCTCTTCGTTTCTCTGGATACAGTGAAGGTGCAGGGAAAAACTTACGGAGTGAATAAATGAAGCCACGTGGTTCTGGAGACAACAGAACCCATGGTAAGGCTAGGTATGGGCCAGAGTGTCCATCACCAGATCCCCTTCCAGGGCAGAAGGGAAAATGAGTCAGGTCTTATCAGACTATCAGACGGGGGACAAAGGACTCAGAGCCTGAGTAGCTATTCTTTATAGATCTGCCAGCAGAGCACACATTATGCATTTAGGAGGTTAAACTGTCAGAATGTCAGAGCTGGAAGGACCTGTAGGTGTCATCAAGAGCAAACCACTCAGGCTGCAGAGGAGACAGAAGGAAAGTGACCTGCCCAAAATTACGCAGCCAGACTAAGGAAGCCAGGACTAAAACGCAGATGCTAAGACTTTCTGGGCTCTAAAACAGACCTGGGTTTTCAGCCTAGCTCACACTTACTGAGTGACCTTGACTGAGTCAATTAAACTCTGAACCTCCACTTCATCTGTTCACTGGGAGTAATAAAACCTACATAACGAGGCTGATCCTTTCTCTGACCTTGAAAACTCTCACTCTAGTGAGGCGGGGGCTCTGGCATCACATCTTTATTTACAGGTGGAAAAACTGAGCTATGGAGAGTAAATCCTCTGCTCAGGTTATCCAAAGGGACATAACTATCTTCTGTTGATTACAAATTCTATCTCTGCGGTCTGAAGAGTCAACATACTAAGGGCCCTGGCCAGCCCCAGGCTATCTAACAGTAGTGCACTGGTCTGGTCACATTCTCCAGGAGGGAGGCAGGAAGGTAAGCGGCCCCAGTCCATGGCTGCCCACCGCCCAGCTCAGGGCATGAGGGACCACACACAGATGCTGGCACTCACCATGCTCAGACTTGCTCACCAGCTTGGAGAGCTTGGCCCGCAAGACAGGTGTGATGACTAAAGACAGGAAGAGAAGCGCGTATCCTGTGGAGAAGAATCAATCATCAGGAAATGACACTGGGGAGAGGGATGCCCAAGTAGGCAAAGCACCGACAGGACCCTGCACGGGACTCGGGGAAGGCACAGGAAGAACTTCCTTTATGGGGAAGGAGACAATGACCAAGGAGGAATGGAGACTTACCCTTCTCAAGGCTTGGCTACCTGCCATCCCCTTTATGAAGGAGTGCGGATTCCTCCCCAACTGTCAGGACACTTCTGTGGTCACGGCAGGCACCCCACCCACTCAGCACATAGCAGGGACATGGCAGGGCACAGAAAACAAACACGGGCTTTGGAGTCAGCCCCGAGTCCCAAACCAGACACAGTCAAAACCTGTGTGGCCTTGGATGCTTCATCTCCTGAAGCCTGACTTCTATCTGTAACAGGGTAACAAGGCCTTTGCCACTTGATATAGCCTGGGCTGTAGGAGGCTGAAGACTGGCCCCCTCAAGATACCAGGTCCCAACCCCTAGAAGCTGAAGATGTTGCCTATTTGGAAAATGGATCTTTACAGATGTGATTATTAAGAATCTGGAGATGGGGGCCTCCCTGGTGACGCAGGTGGTTGAGCGCAGCACTGTGAAGCTGTCCGCAGCCTCTGCAGTGCTGGTTCGATCCTTGCTGGCCTCAGAGCAACCCACATGGTGAGCAGATCTCTCCCGTCTCGCCCGCTAATCCCCTCATCAGTGTTTTTCATCAATCTGCCTGTTCTGTTCCCAGCTCTGTCTCTGGTGAATCCTCTCATCCTCCTGCACATCTGGCCTGTACCCCGGCTCTTGTATAAAAAAAAAAAAGAATCTGGAGATGAGGAGATTATCCTGGATCAAAAGGTTGGGACCTAAGTTACAAGAATCCTTGGAAAGGGCAAGCAGAGGGTTGTTTGACAGACAGAAAGGAGACGGCACCCAGAAGAGGGAAAGGCCGTATGACTGCAGAGCCAGAGCTTAGCGTGAGAAGGGATGCCTGCAGCCACCAAAAGCCAGAGGCAGTGAGGAGCAGGCCCTCTGAGAGCCTCTCAAGAGTGTGGTCCTGGGGACTCCTTGATTTTGGCCCTGTGACAGCAACTCTTGAGTTCTGGCCTCCAGAACTGTGAGAGGGTAAATTTCTGTGCTTTTAATTCCCTGGTGGCGCAAGGGGTTAAGACACAACCTATGATGCTGTCCGCAGTCACTGCAGCATGAGTTTGATCCCCAGCCAGGGAGCTACCCACATGGCGCAGCAGACCTCTCCGGTCTCGCCTGCTGCTCCCCTCAGCAGTGTATTTCAGTCAATCTGCCTGTTCTGCTCCCCAACTCTGTCTCTGGTGAATCCCCTCACCCTCCCACACCTCTGGCCTGTATCCCAGTTCTTGTATGCATAAATAAATAAATCTTTAAAAAAAAAAAAACAACAAAGACGATGACCAAGGATATTTGAGGTAGGTCGATTCTTATCAGAGAAATGAGTGTTAGGGCACTAACAGCATGGACTTTGTTTAAGAACCAATATAGGCTGTGGGAGGCCAAGGGGTGAAATAATTCGTATCTGAGCCATACTTTGTCTTGCTCTACCTAACAATATGACAGATGTGGATTAGTTACTTCACCTGTTGAAATGGCATCTTTATGAAGTTTCTTACTGTCTTTCCTCCAGTGCAGGCTAGGGGGCAAATCATGTTTTCACAGGCAATGACATGAACCCCATTTGGCATCTAGTTGCTGGCCCCCAATTTTCACTCCATCCCTCTGGGACAAACTGTCCCTGAGCCCACACACTTTACCTGTGAACATGAGGGGTGTGATGACAGCAAATGCAAAGACCACCATCCCCATGATGTTGAAGGCCAGGCCAATCTCAGCTACCCAGCTGTCGGCCAGGAAATACTGCAGAAGCCGCAGGCCCAGCAGGCTGGTGAGGTAGGTGAGGTGGTGCATCGCAGAACCGTATCCTATCAGTGTGGAATCCCAGCAGAGGGGTGCGCTCAGCTCATAGAGGGTCAGGATGTCCTGCGCCCCAAAGTGCACAGTGATCACCACGAAGATGGCCAATGAGTACAGGGCTAAATGCTTCCTGGACTTCTCTGGTGCGGGAGACATGTACAGCTGGATAATGGATCGGTGGTGACGGAGTGTGAAGAGCCGGGTAAGTGTTGGCTCCTTCACTGTCTCACCAAAGCAGAAGGCTGCGTAGAAAGTCAGGGCTATCAGCAAGGCCATGGCCAGCCAGAATGGGTTGGCATAACCCTGGGCCCGGAGCCAGTGGCCTCCAAGGAGGCTGGCCAGCATCCCCCCTATCCCAATGCATGATTCCAGCACGGCCATACGGATGGTGCGGGTGTGGCTGGAGCTGACGTCTGCCACGGAGGCAAAGCTAGCAGCGAGGAGGCCACCAAAGTCGCCAAGGAGGGCAGAAACAATGCGGCCCAGCACAAAGAAGCCAACATGGAGCTCCAGTTGCACCACAAAGATGGAGATCACCGACTGAAGCAGCAGACCGAAGGAGGCCAGTACCAGCAGGGGACGGCGGCCCACACAGTCACTCCAGGCACCCAGCAGGGTGGATGAGAAGAGATCAATCAGGAAGCCGCCCACATTCATGTAGAGAGTCCAGTGGGAGGTGAGGGTCTCCACTTCCTGTGAGCACGTAAGTCTTACCAGGGTACAGCTCCCAACTCTGGCTCCCACCCTCCAAACCATCGCCATCCTGGGGCATACAGTGAGGATGACCCTCTCTGGTGCCCTAAACTTAGATAAGTTTAACTCAAAAACTGACACGAGAGTGGGGTATGGGAAATAGACAAGGACCACTGCCCTTATATTTACCCCTGCTGATGAACCCTCAAGGCCCTGCTTTATCTAGAAGAACTGTATGCACCCCGGTAACCGGTGGCTAAGGCCAAAGACCTCTTGCTGCCCTGTATCACCCCCAGACTAGTTCTCAGGTCCCAAACTTGCTCGCTCCTCCCCCGCCTTTCCACATTCCTAACCCTTTCGGTGAAGCCCCAATTTTACAGAGGGCCCGCCCCCTGCCAAGATCCTCGCTGGTCCTCGCCACCGCTACCTGCATTTTGGGGTCCGCGGTGTGGTTGCTGCAGCCGCCCCGGTCGCGGGTGCCATTGTAGCCAACCTGGGCACTAAAGCGGTGCCAGAGGTACTGCGTGGTAAGCGGGCCCTGCAGGACCAAGGCGAAGTTGGCGAGGAAGACGATCGGCTCCACCGGGCCCCGAAACAGCACCACTCCCCGTGCCCGGCCGCGGGGCTCGGCCGCGGGGCTCCCGCTCTGCTCCATGCCCACGTCGGCTGCGGGTCGGCGGCGCGTGGCGGGAGGCGGGAGGCGGGGCTTACGGCGCCTGCGCCCGACTCTGAGTTTTTAAGTCCGCCTGGGCGGGGTCGGGGCTGTGCTCAGTCGCGCCCTGCCCTCTCTGGGTGGGTGAGGGCAGGCTGGGGGGCCTCCAGCCCCGTGGTTGACAGGGTGATCTCACCTGCAAGCTGGGCAAAGACATGGCCCTGCATTCCTCCCTGCCAGGCCCAGAAAGCCTCGGAACAATAGCAAGATCAATAGTTAACATTTATATGATCGCTTACTCTGTGCTGGGCAATGTACTAAACATGGTGCGTTAATCTCCCAACAGCTCTGTAGACGAGCCGCTCTTAATGATGGCAATGTACAAATGTGGTAATAAAGTCATCAGGTGCTCAAGGACCCAAGCACAAGGTCATATTGTTACAGGGCAGCCCCCATACAAAACAGGTTGCCTGGCTGTGGGTCCTCACCCGCGCGCTTAAAAGGGACTTATTAATATTCCACTACAGGCACACACAAAAGGTTAATAAAAGGTTTATTTGCAAGGAAGGGCAAATGAGGAAATGTACAACTCAGGGAGAAAAGTGGGAGACAAAGTTTTAAATGCGTCCTACGTGATCCACCGATTTGGAATCCCAAATGGCGCTCTGAGAGCTGGCCGCCAGCCAGGAGACGTGAAGCCAGGAGGCGAGCGACAGAGCGAGCCCCCCAAGGCCCACGTGTTTGGTTTTTATACCCAACCTGGCTGCTTAACTCCACCCTCAGGTCCCAGCCACCTTCCCTTTGGTGGTGACGGGATTTGTCTTTCCCAAAGTCTTGATGGCTTTGGTCTGGAGTGGGGGTGGAGTCCACAAAGCCTGCATGGGATTAGCGCAGGACATCCTTTCCCCCTAACAATATGAGGTCTGAGGCTGATGCTGATGGCTGTGCTTTAACAAGCAACTCAGAGTGGCTACGAATGCGCCCTCAGTATGCCGGTGCCAATTAGAACGCTGTGTACATGAAACTTCCTATACAGTCGTGCATCTCTTAACAGAGGGGAGACTGTTAGGGGGAAAGGATGTCCTGAGATAATCCCATACAGGCTTTGTGGACTCCACCCCCACTCCAGACTAAAGCCATCAGGACATTGGGAAAGACAAATCCCATCACCACCAAGGGGAGGGTGGCTGGGACCTGAGGGTGGAGTTGGGCAGCCAGGTTGGATATAAAAACCAAACACGTGGGCCTTGCTCGCTCTCTGGCTCGCGATCACTCGCCTCCTGACTTCACCGCTCCTGGCTGGCGGCCAACTCTGAGAGCGCCATTTTGGGATTCCTGATCGGCGGATCGGGTAGGACGCATTTAAAACTTTGTCTCCCACTTTTCTCCCAGAGCTGTACATTTCCTTATTTTCCTTTCCGTTGTAAATAAACCTTTTATTAACCTTTTACGTGTGCCTGCAGTAGAGCATTGATAAGTCCTTTTAAGCGCGCGGGTGAGGACCCACAGTCAGGCACCCCGTTTTGTATCGGGGTTGCTCTACAACAGTTTGGCGCCCAGCGTGGTTTCCAAGTTACACCCGCGGTGGACCAGCCCAAAGTAACATTCCTTGCGTTGGTCACCATAAGCGCACTAGTTCTGCAGGACTAGCAGACAACAAGACGTCTGAGAAGTCCCTTCTTAGACACTTTCCTCATTGTGTGAATGCTAGAGTGTCACGGAAAACTGTTTGCCAGGCTGGAAGGGACCAATCGGCACTCTAAGGTCAAGCAGGAACAGGTTTATTGATTATTACACTGTGGGCACCAGACTGGAGAGGTCTCCAAAATCTGGGGCCCTGGGTATACGCAAAAGCTTTTTTTATACACAGTTAGTTTCACATAGGTTACTTGGGTAGTTTACAACTTGAGTTACAAGGTCAAGCAGCTGGAGGTGGAGCAAAAAGGGAAAACATCAAAGGAAGGGGGAGGGGCTGACAGCACCCAACTGTCCCCCACCCTGCTCTCTTTTCTGGGAATGCGACCTAGTGAGTGATAAGGGAAAGTAGACTTGCTTACCATATTCAGGGTTTTTTTTTTCCCCCTTCCCTTTCAATAGAGTGTAATTACACAAACAGAAAAGGTATAGCCCACTACACACTCAGGCTCGGTGGGATGGTCCATTGGGACCACCATCGTGTATGCGGTCCCTAGAAGTGATAAGCAACATGTAGGATTATAAACCAATGTCTCTCAATAAAGTTAAAACCATGGGGGCCTCCCTGGTGGCGCAAGCAGTTAAGACACAACCTATGAAGCTACCCGCAGCCACTGCAGCAGGAATTCAGCCCCAGGCCAGGGAGCTACCCACATGGCACAGCAGACCTCTCCTGACTTGCCCGCTGCTCCCTGTGTTAGGGGGAAATGATGTCCTGAGCTAATTCCATGGAGGCTTTGTGGACTCCACCCCCACTCCAGACCAAAGCCATCAGGACATTGGGAAAGACAAATCCCGTCACCACCAAAGGGAAGGTGGCTGGGACCTGAGGGTGGAGTTAAGCAGACAGGTTGGGTATAAAAACCAAACACGTGGGCCTTGGGGGGCTCGCTCTGTCGCTTGCCTCCTGGCTTCACGGCTCCTGGCTCGCGGCCAGCTCTCAGAGCACCATTTGGGATTCCAGATCGGGGGATCGCGTAGGACGCATTTAAAACTTTGTCTCCCACTTTTCTCCCTGAGCTGTACATTTCCTCATTTGCCCTTCCTTGTAAATAAACCTTTTATTAACCTTTCACGTGTGCCTGCAGTAGAGTATTGATAAGTCCTTTTAAGCGCGCGGGTGAGGACCCACAGTCAGGCAACCTGTTTTGTATCGGGGCTGCCCTATAACACGTGCAGCAGTGCATTTCAGTCAGCCTGCCTGTTTTGTTCCCCACTTTGTCTCTGGTGAGTCCCTCTCACCCCACCCCCCCACACCTCTGGCCTGTATCCCAGTTCTTGTTTGCATAAATAAATAATTCTTAAAAAAAAAATTTCAGCCTCAGGCTCTGCTGCCTGGTTCCATTAGCCACTCTGCTGCTATCTTGGGCATGCTACTCATTTCCCTGGGCCTCAGTTTCTTCATCTTTAACCTGGGATGCTAATGGAACCTGCCTCCAAGAGCTGTTGTGGGAGAATGCGTCTGTTATGCTGTATCTTTTCCTGGGAAACAGCAGTCAGGCTGTTTATCTGTTGCTCCTTCTTGCAATTCTCAGAAATGACAGGGGCTCAGCCTATGGACTTGCTCTTCCTTTGTTTCTCACTTGATCTTAGCCAAAAGGCCGAGAAGCGATCTTCTTCCTTTGTTTCTCACCTTGTGATATTTCGCAGTCAATGAATCATTGGTTTTGTTTTGGGGGGGGGGTTTACACATTCCCTTATTATTTTACTCATTCACACATTTACCGGGCACCCCTTATGTGCCAGGCATCATGTTGGTGATAAGGTTCTGGGAACACAGCTGTGAAGGAAACAGACAAAGCTCTTCCCAGGCGCAGTAGTTTCTAGAATGGTGGGAGAGAGCTATCACCCAGTTCTACCAATTCATTTAAACTGTGAAAGGTACTTTAACATAGAGGAGTTGTGAGACAGCAGGGATGCTAATTCAGGGGCATGGCCTGGTTTGGGAGGAGAAGAGTCAAGAAAGGCTGATTCTCTGACAACAGGGCAGCTGAACAGATTTCTGGAGGCAGGCCCTATGCTGAGACACACAGGCCTGATTCTTGAGCTGGTGGACACTCTATTTCTGGACACTGTGACTGTGCATGGACTTGTTGCTGGCTTATTAACTACCCTCAACTGCCCTGAGCCAGGAAGAGTCCCAGACTCTGAATGGGTAGGTGTAAATAGCTACTGGTGAACTGAATGTTACCTGTACCCCCATAAAAATAATCCCCATCCCTGGGATCTTCTTAGAGTTAGGAAATTCCATGCTAAGCATAGAGGTAGTCTCCCTCCCTGCCCCATCACCTACTCAAAGTCTTGACTTCTTAAGTCAGCTGTAGTGAGGGAGGGGTGCCTAGCTGAAACCTTAGAATTACTTCTCAGATAAAGAACTAAGACTAAGGTCACTTGGCTGGGAATAGGACAGGGTGTGACTCATCAGAGCTGGAGTCTACAATATCCACTGAACGCTTCTTGTAACTCCTTTAAAACACAGCTATGATCAGGTCACTACTCTGCTTAAAACTGTGAGATCAGTCCCCCGGAAAGTCTCAGATAGACTTTTCTCAATAGGCCCAAAGTAAACCTCTTGTCTTCTTGGTATGAGAAATCGAGGTAAATCAAGGCCCAGTGAGCCTTGGGATGTCTATTACCATTACTTAAAGAATACATATTGTTTTGGATTGAGAGCAGTGAGGGCCCTGAAAGCCAGAGAAGTTAGCTCACTTAACCTTAACCCCGCCCTAATCAAATAAACAATCCTGCTCTCCCTTTTGTGACCTAGAAGGATGTAGTCTGGGGTTCTCCCTGAACTGTAGGTTTACAGTAAACATGTCCTTTCTGTGTAAGAATCTCATATTTACTCTCAGAGTAAGGATGAGATCACCCCCTTCTTATATGTCTCCCCATCTCTGTCCTTGATGCCCCAGGTCCTAAAACAGAGAATAAATATTTCTGTTCTGCTCCATTATTCTTTAGATTTTATAAACACATAAATCCTACATACATATTTTATTAAATTGATTTTTCCTTTGCTACCCCATCTGATGCTGTTTTGATTACTCATCCAGCTCAAGAAGAATCCAGAGGGATATGGAAGGTTTCATCTTGTGCCCTGACAAAACCATCCAGTGGTTTCCATTTCATTCAGTGAAAGCCAAGTCACTGTGACCACTCCCCTTTCTCTGACCCTCTTCCCCAGCCACCCCTCTTCCTCCTTTGGGACCAAAAACAGCCTGCCCAAGGTGTGCCTCAGATGCAAGCTGATTATTTTGAATAGAAAGAAATGAAGAGACAGAAGATGCAAGAATAATGGTTTGTGCCTCATT